AGATTGCGGAGTGGAGCAGAAGGCAATAAATTTATGACGCACTGGATAATGAAGCAGAACAGGACGCGACTAACAGAAACCTCATGACATTATATCAGAAAACCAGGTATCTATTCAGGAAAAGACAGACGGAGATGAAACCAATGAAAGATAGTTCAGGTAATTTGACTACCACAGAGGAAAATCAAATGAAACAGTGGGATGGTCACTAAAATTGAACTCCTGAGCTGACCATCCCCACCATCACCAACAGGAAAAAAGCTGCTAGTGGACACCATTCCCCCAATGGAAACAGGTCTTTCATGCATTCAATCTACTGAGGACCGGGATGGCGACAGGGCCAGACGGGATTCATCCTGAAGCACATGAAACGGATTCAGAAACCACGGTGGATATGCCTAGATCACCGATGCACAATGTCTGTAAGGGAGGGAATACACCCCTTGACTGATAGAAAACCTACCCTGTCAAGCTACCAAAGAAGGTCTACCTACGCCTCTGCAAGAACTACCATAGAATAATGCTTTTGTACACGCCAAGTAAAATACTAAGTCGATTCATCCTGGATAGAATAAAAGATTCACTGTATGTGGAACTCCGCCCGCAAGCAATAATTTGGATTCGAGAAAGGCAAATCATGTGCTAAGCAAATTGCGACCCTGGGCATAGGATGGCAATCAAACCTCTACATAAATTCTTAAAACGCCCACAGTGGTTTTGACCGTGAGTTAATTTGGAAACTGATTCAACACTACGGGTTGAAGTCCCCTGGTATCACTGGTGATATTCCCCATTTTAGTGAACTAGATCGTGTGTCAGACTGTGGGAAATGAAAAGACAGGCATACATGAGGCTCATAGGAAGACTCTGGAAGATCTGTAATCCAAAGATGACCTGAGTTCATCGTTACACACTCTCAAAGATATGCAGGTGAAAATCAACAAACTGACAGAAGAAGCAGGCAGCGAAGACTGGACTTCAAGTGAGCATAGAGAAGATGAATGTGATGAAAAAATCAACCAACAACAACAAGCACTGATGCCTTTCAATGAAATTATTCTGAAAGGGTTTTCTTCTCTCACTCATCTAGGAAGCATCCTGTCAACGACAGTTGACTTTACAGATAAGGATGTCGAAATAACAATCGGGAAGGTAGGGTAAAACTTCATCACTCTGGAATCAGTTTTTATATCTTCTAAACCCAGTATAAACGGCAAAATTTGCGTCTTCAATACCAGTGTCAGGTAAGTTGGTGTCTCTGTGTGGGTCAGGAACTCGACGCGTCATGAAAAGTATTTCCAACAGGCTACAGACTTCTACCAACAGCTGCTGTCTCTGGATACTGAAGATAAAGACCAGAAACTGTTGGCAATAAGGAACTCTGTGAACGAACCAACCAACAAACTTCTGCCAACAAATATTCTGAAGAAGATGGAGGTGGATCGGACATACTGAGAAAGCCATTGTATGACATCAGGCACCAGTTCTCAAAAAGGAACCTGAATGGAAAAGGATGAGTGGGGCAGCTGAAGGTGATATGAAAGATATCGTATGAGGAGAGAATAAAAGCCTACTGGCAACAGTGGAACCGGCTAAAGAGGACTACAGAGAACACTACAAAATGTAGATGTGCAGCTAGAGCGCCACTTTCCACTGAGAACCCAAGGGAATAATAACAGCAGTGTAGCAAGCATTGTTGAAATACCCCCAAAGTACCATGATGGCGACTGCACTAACACTAACTATTATGATCTTCGCTTGCATTTCGCTATTACCTTTTGAACAGCATCGTCTAGTACTCTTCGCAGCTATCCATCTTTTTCCGTCCAACTTTAACATAATATCCACTGTTCTATAGTTTACTTTCACCGCAACAAAATTTATCAGTCAGAAGTGTGGAGGTGGTAAAACATGACAATGAATCTCCGGAATGCTAACTTCAAACTGTGGAATAAGACACCCATTTAATCACTTTATCAAATGCCTAACTCACGATAAAGGATAGAGAGACATCTGCTCAGGCGTGTTTATCACAATACGAAGGCTACAGGATAGGAACCTTAACAGTATAGTTAGAAGTAAATTTGAGCACCAGTTCATCAAATACAACTAAAGGTAAAATTAAGGACTCTTCATCCATTCGCAACACTGACTGTGATATGTAGTGCCCATTTTAGACACTCAGAATGTTGATGTTAACGAGCAGTACGAAGTATACCGACGCAAGATCTAATACCCACAACTCTATAGTATTCATTCCGCGTATACCAAAGGCAAAGCAAAACACAATAATTGTTCGTCCTAATTACGAAGTATATTTCCAGACCAAATCGGAGTGCGAGATAATTGCTTAACTGGCTAGGGAATGTGAACGAACGAAGGAACGTAACACAACGGCATGGTGAATGGCGTGGATGCTTGACTGTAAGCCTTCAGCTAAACAAGTCGATTTAAACAGTGAGGGTCAGCATCAAATGTTCAGTGATGAATGCTGTGGCTGATAATTTTGGGGAACTACCTACCGCTACAGTTCACTCCCCTACTAGTGAGGTTGTTAGAACCGTAAGATGAAACCGGCCGGAAGTAAAAACCGAATGGTGTTACCATCATTAAAACTGTTCTGACCGACTTGATAGACTACTGGTCGTCTAACTATACCAATTAGGTTCATGTACATCGCTGCGTTGATTAACATACGCTATACTAATGACGTTAGATGAGGCTGTCCCCAGAGGTGGTCCACAAACCGTTACCTTCAAACTGTTTCTTAAACAAGGAGTACTAAATTTCCTGGAATTATACTACGACCTCCCCTGTCCACAAGCGATGATATAGGGACTGTTAATCAAACTACTGGTTTACCAGAGTTAGCAGAACTATTATCAATATCCTGGTTATAATGGCAGAGAAAGAAAGTTAACTGGAAATTATAATTTGCCATTCAAGGCTCAAGTTGATTTTCTAGAAAACTTTACATCACAGGTGTAATGACAGGAGAAATCATGTCAGTTTGGTGATTAAACTGGAAAGATTTAGGATCATGGACGCTATGGAATCTAACGGTGCTCAACTTTTCACCTGAATGTGCCATACTCAGTACGCTACACTAATCAATACAAGGGAATTACCTGTACTCATGGAATCTTCCGTAATTATCCATGTTGATGACCTAAAATATTTCCAATATCCAATATCCTGATTACGAGCTAGTATAAACCAGTGATTTCTTTGAGCTCGCTTCTTGATTGTAAGGTAGAGGTTCCAGATCTTCGGTGAGCTTAAGCGTAGTAAATCCCGCCACTTGACTGCTTTAGCTCTGGTAGATTCCAAGAGGAGTGGTGCGAGGATTGGTCAAGATGTGGTTTGCAGTGTGCAGTATGTTAGAACTCAGTTACTGCCATGAATGGAGTTTGACCTAACACCCGTTGGTCATTGAATGTAGTCATAAAAGTAGAATAGTAATAATAATAGGTTGTAGTGTAGATAATATAGGTTGAGATAAGTGAAATAATAAAGGTGAAATAATAAAGGTGACGAAAGAAAAGATAGAGTAGTCGGTACAGTTAGAGAAGACAGAACGGGTCGTGCGGATTTAGCTTGTATGCTTATCCGTTGACAGTGTAGTTTCAAATTTTAAGAGGATAAGCCATTGAGACACAAACCATGCATTTCTGCATGATTGTCTAGCTTCCTCTTAAAAGTCTCCTTAGATGGCGCTGTAGTCACGGCCGCCGGTAAAGCGTTCCAGAGGCAGCAAACTCGAAGCCAAAAGAAATGTGAACGCACTCGAGTCCTTGGTCTCTGGTGTGCTATCCTTAGTGGGCTACCTCGTGGAAGCCTATAATCGCTTAATGGCAGGATGCTTTTATTAGGGAGGGCCTGGTCATTTACGATCTTATAGACAATGATGAGGTCTCCCCTGTGACTACGGTAACTAAGTGTGAAAAGACTCAATTTCTTCAGTCTTTCCTCATATGATTTGTTGCGGAGGCCGATCACCCATTTTGTCGCTCGTCTCTGGACACTTTCTAGCATGTTAGCATCCCTTTTGAGTAGCGGAGGAGCAATGATATTATGCACCTCAAGGAGTGGCCTAACGTATGTCGTATACAACGTTAGGAATAGTTCGGGAGTAAGAGCTCCCAGTTGCCTATGCATAAAGCGTAAGGTTGTGTAAGCTTTGGCGACGTCCCTCGTGTAATTTACACTGGTGTCTAGCTTTTCTGTTAAAATAAGGCCTAGATCGCGTTCTGATGGCACACAACTCAAGTTCTGGCCACCAAGGGTGTAATTTGCACTCTGTGACCTGCCGGAATGAAGTTGCACTACTTTGAACTTCTTTAGGTTGAAAGGCATTCCGTTAGCCAGAGCCCAGTCTCCCAGAGTTTGCAGGTCAGCCTGCAATCTGTCGGAGTCTTCCGATGAGTTTATTGCTCTCCAAATCCTTACGTCGCCAGCGTAAAGATGCGCAGAGCAGTTCAGTTGACAGGGTAGGTCGTTGATAAAAATCAAAAGCATCAAAGGCCCTAAGATAGAACCCTGAGGAACCCCTGATGCCGAGGTGTGCCAGGATGATCGGATGAGGTTGACTTTGGTGCATAATTTTCTCTCGCCTAAATAATCTTTCAGCCATGCGACAAGTGCTCCAGAAACACCTGCCTTGCTTATTTTGTGAAGTAGCAGACCATGGTGGTGTGCGCTTATGAGGGAAAGTGACATACTTCCCAAGAAAGCCTCATCTCTGTGCTTTACTGACTTAAAGAATTACCATTAGTAAAGCTAAGTATGCAGACTTGACCACCAGACATTCACAAATCCTAAATTTGTTTTACTATTTAAAGTCATAGCAAAGAAAACGCAGATATTTGAAAAATGGTATGTCGCGGTATTTCCTTATCGTTATTTACAGGCGGTCCGTTCCTCAAGAAGAAAGACCGAAGAAGATAAGAAACTTAATGAAGAAAGTTAGTCCTAACGATTATGTTGTTTATTTGTACAAGATGAGGCAAAGTTGAGAGCCCAGGAGCAAGAAAATGAAAGACTTAGGAAAGAAAAGGAACGAAGACGCATAAAAGAGCTTCAAGAAAAAGAGGCAAGTTATCGATATGTGCAGTGTTGTGTGCTTTTTGTTTCTGAATGGATACAAAAAATTCCTTGAATTATTCCTCTGGAACTTAAGTTCCATGTAAATAAATTCTGGATATTTCACTCCTACATTTTTTGTGTAACTGGGTTTATCTTGGTGAACTTTCGTGAATTACAGCTCATACATAGCACCGCATAAACCATGTTGCTGGTGAATACGGTTGCAGTCAAAAGAAGTGTAAATGCTTGATAAGCCGAAGTTTTCGGATTTCATCATGAATGCTTAATCAAATTTTTCGATACTGATGAATTTTAGACAACGCGAAATCTGGTAGAATTTCTCACATTCTGGAATTTTCATTACGTGATCTGTCCTACATATCCTGTCGTACTACTTTATGGTAGTGAGCTTTAAGATCCATGAAACTAGTTTTTTAACCAACTGATTTTCACCTCACTTTGGCGAGCACCTCATTTTTCAGGCTACTGTGTCTTTGAGAAGTCACTATGCCACAATCTTTAGTTAATTTTACTCAGCATAAGTCTAATTTATTTCACTTAAGATCAGACCCATTGTTTCAATCAGATAAGTGTGTATCCTCAATTTGCTTATAAATTTCCATGGGGGATACTTTCTAAAGAGCTCTCCAAGTGGCTTACCATCATTACTGGTTATCTAACCATTTCTAATATAATCATAGCAGTAATGACAGTTTCAAGTTCGAAACTGGGCAAAGCAGCAGGGCCTTACGACCAATCTCCAAATGTGCTCGAGGATGGTAGTGATTAACTACTGGCTGCAGTAATTGACACAGAACCCATTGGTTTCCTAAAACTCGAGTTAACCATCTATCTTCGCACTTTGAATAGTTTGGACAGATCTTCCTGCGTTGACGTGAAGATGGGTCATGCCAAAATAGCATCTAACATGGTAGGTCCCAAAGGTATGAATAGACTACGTATGGTCATTAGAAAAGACTTCAGAACACTAGGAAAGTTACAGGCGAGTAAATCAATTAAATCTTTATATTTCGTCATGCCCTTTGGAAGATGCTCATAAAGTTATGCCTGATAATTTTCTTATTTCCTAAAGTCAAGGAGACACATGAATTCATTGGTCCAGAGGTGTCGTAGCAGTGTCTGACTGTGAAGGGAGTGCCGGAAAACGTATGCTACGCTAAATAAAGTGCTCCACTCGAGCTCCTACAACTTTATGAAAGCAGGAAACTATCATAGACACTCTGTGTCAGCGTCATTATTTGTCTTCATTACGGACGCATTCATGGATATAACTCTGTTAGATTTCGGTCTTTAGAAGGTCGGTTTTCTACTGAAGAAAAAACTTGTTGATTTAGTGCACTTTTAAATACGTTCCTTAAGCTGAAGACAGTGATAAGACACGAAGTCTTATTAGCATAGTAAATAAAAACCCAAGTATTTTTAGCATCTGATTAGCACTCTTGAAATGTGAGATAATGCTAAAGGAATGGCCTTCTCTAACTCATAGTTGGAAAGTAATTAGTGGAATGGTTGAATGCGTTATGCACTGTACTTATTTGCAAAGTTTTGTTTGATCTTATTTGGCTAGTTGTTAGCGAAATTTCAGTATGGATACAAAATAATCGTCTGAGACTTACACAGCTGCATCATTTTCGATACAAGCATGGTATCCATCTAATCATAAAAGGTAGTGTGTACTATGTAGCAGCTTCTTCTCTCTTGTTTCACGGTCGTGACACATGAACACCAAGGACATAACATCTATACGAATTAGAGGCTTTTAATTAAATGCATCTTACCTCACTAGCATTATAAGTGATAATGGGACCATGTGTCTAGTGCCAGATATGCTTAGCTAGTTATTCGATGAAGTTATGAAGATTTATTAATCTAAATGGAAATTCTAACTGTAATGAACACATCCCATCGACAAACTAGCAATACCTAGGACCGCGAAATGGACATCAGCAACCGACTAAAAACGATGAATGGCTTCCAAAGTATACTGAATTGAAAAAGTCATGAATACACTTCTGTTTACTCATTAATGCGCTCAAAGTCGATTTCTCAGCTTATAAAACTTCGTCGAATATTAAAGTTAGCATATGAGCAACACATGTCAAGCTAACACCTTCATTAATGGGATATGTTAACTGGAGTAAAATCAGACTGGAAAACAGTTCACGAAGATCAAATGAAAATATGGAAATATTCCCTGAAGTTTTTGACTGCTGATTTAAATCGGGCTAAGGACCTTAGGACCTTAAGAATTAGTGGTTCAAACAATTAGTACCATGGCTCAAAAAATCTTCCGCAATGGCTCAGATTCTAAAAATACTCACTAACCCCCTCCGGGTGATTATCCTAACTTCCGTTTACATTTATCTGCTAAAGTTTAAGTTTTTACTTGCGTTTTGAAATTATGTGCTAGGTTGTTTGTTGGTTCTTAAGGCCATGTTGTGAAATATCTGTTTGAATGGGAACAGTAAGCAGAAGTGTGACAGAATGTACACCATCGGCCTTCATATTATCTACTCAAAGCTTTGATTGGGCACTAACTAGTGTAATGTGTCTAGTCCTTTACTTACTGCAGGCTGAATTCTATCAGTCAAGTTTCCTATGTGACCGATTGCCTCCAACCATCTAATATCAACGCGTCGGTGGCACAGTGGTAGAATCCACGCCAACCACGCATGTAGTCATAGGTTCGTTCCCCGGCCGACGCACACCTTTACCTCGCTAAGCCAGTAATAAGAGCGGTAAAGAGGGAAGGTTGGGCAGAGCATGAGGCTGGCAACCCCACCTCGTAAAAATAAACACCACTGCTACTGAAACTTCAAAGCTCTGGCTTGAAGCCCCCTATGTTCCACTGGGAACGTAAAAGAATAAAAAAAACCTAATATCAACAATTCAAAGTGCACCGTGATGGCAAACCACCTAGAATGGTGGCTACATCGCAAAACCGACTGTTAGAATTCAGTCTGCAGTAAACAAAGGACTAGACACATCACACTAGTTACTAACTAGTGTTTAATCAAAGTCTCCAGTACAGTCCTACAGGAGGTCAATCGCAAGCCCGAATAGCTGGCTCAGTAGTAACATGTCTGACAGCAGTACTGGGTGACGCGAGTTCAAATCTCATAAGGGACATGAGTTCCGTCAAGAATGCAAATACGCCTTGTTGACGACTGCCAACAAATACGAACCCTAGGTGTGTCCAAGGCTTCCTGTCGATTGCCTCCAACCATCAAATAACAACCCTCAAAGCATTCTGAATAAAGTAAGAACAACAGCTTTTGCAGAATAAAGTGGTACCAACATTTATTTCGTTGCCTTCTCACCAGCTGTTCACATACCAAAAACATTATTAAATATATCTACAGAAACAATTTTAACATGTTCAAGTGTTGGTTTGTAGGGATATGATTGGTTACAAGATTTTCATCATCAGCTGACATTATTTAGAGAACCACTGGAAAACCTGGGAGTACTGGACAGCTGTTTCGTCCTAGTTTGGGACTCTTCGGCGGTACGCACCCACCTGGATTTGAACCCAGGACCTTCTGGTTACAAGGCGAGCTCGTATACCATTAAGCCACTGAGACCCAATCCAATGGCCCATGAATTCTAACTTCTGCCAACTCACGACATAGCGCGACCCCTAGCCAATGTCTTCGGCGAGTATTTATCCTCACACCCGACGTGCTGCACCCTACTGGTTACGACTTCTCACTAGAACCCCAGGTAACTACCCAACCTGAATAGGGCAAGTCGCTAGTGAGCACCTCAGTGATATTCAAGTGTTGGTTTAACATACTTGCACATAGTTCACTTTAAGCAAAAACCAATCGATCAACATGTGCATACAGTAATTATATACATATACATATATATATGTATATATATATATATATAATAAACACTATTCCGAACCATAATGATTATACCAAATGGAAACTTTTGGCACTGGTTATTCAGATGAAAGAGATGAAAATATTCAGATACCAGGGCAAAGAAAGACTGAAAAACGCTTCTTTCTGAACGCACAAATCAGGTTGCAGGCGCTTGATGGAAATGGCTTCAGCAAACTTGAGGATAATTGAGCTCTTTAGTATATTGATAATTTTGAACGACTTTTTGACGTCCACCTCATGACCCATGTCAAGGAGATGCCTAGCGATAGCACTGTTTAAAGCATTTGTTCCCTTCAGACAGAAGCTTTTTCGTACATGTTCATAAAATCGTAGATATACCCTTCTTGCTGTCCTTCCAATGTAACTGCTCCCGCAGATACATGTAAATTTGTATATACAGTTGGAGTTAACATGGGAGAAGGATATCTATCGATTTTTGACTGTACCAAAGAGAAAGTTGTTCGATAGACGGGGACGAGCCTAGCTGCATGATAGGCTGTTGCTAGTGACGTACTCAGTCTTCTGTTGACCATTACTGCAATGTTTTCACCTTGATAATCAAGTTGAATGTAGATTGACTTTTTCTCCACTGTGATTTGTTCTACATATAAGACTTCAGATCTTCCATACTTGTTAGTGGACATAAATTCTTCCTCTTATTTCTCTATAGAGCATACTCTCCTCGCTCTATAGTACACAGTCTCGACTAGTCCGCATTTAAAGCTATTTGGACAAAGCTTTGCTGACCAACATATGTGATCTCATCTACAAGATGATTCCCTCAGATGATCAGTAGGGTAACTATGGTGCCCCCCTGCTGCCTGAGGTGGGAAGAATGTATGAGAATGTTTTTTTCCAAAAGCTGTACATTCCAACTTACATTGTAAAGGTCTATAGCTCTTCCAGTGACGTCTTCATACATAGGCAACTATCATAACCTCAAGTAGATGTCCACTGAGCTCTAAAGTTTTAAACAAGTTCAGCCACGTCAATATATGCATATAAGGAGTATTCAGGAGACCGCTTTAATTATTTTTTTCTCAAACTTGATATTATTTCTGATACAAAGCTTGATATTATTATTTATATTATTATTATTATCAATTGTAACACAGGAATTAAAACAACGTTCTGCTGAATTGAAGGAGACAAGAACAATACTGAATGAACACAGACTTAGTTTACAACAAATTGAATTAGAATGCAGAAATGATTATGCAGTGAGTTAATCAACCGAATTACTCATTTATTTTATTAAATATTAATAATAATCATAATAATAATAAGTATTATTATTGTCATTTTCCTTTCAGTGGAAAAGATATTTTCGTTGTGATGGTTCACCAAATCCAAGTATTGAAAAAGAAATCAATACATTTATGAGTTTATGGGATTTAAATGAACAACGTACATCTATGGAAGACGTAATGGATGATTGTGTTGAAAGTTTAAAGGTTCAATGTTCAACTTTTTTTTAAAAATTCAATGTTCAATAGCTTATAGATGAATTGAGTAAGTTAATTTCAGAATTAGGTGATAATGAAGAAGACAATAAAATTCGTATAAAATATGAACAAGTAATTTATATAACATTCCCAAAAATTAAAATATTAATAATATTTATTATAACTGCATTTTCTAGACCCAACATGAACTTAGACAACAGGTGCATAGTAAACTAGATCGTGCTACAGTTGAAACCTTGTCAAGAGCTGTTCATTATGCTGATCGTGAAACATCAAATTTACAAAAAATTTGGTATAATAATTGGATTGTAATGTGTATATGGGGAAATTTATCTAAGAATCCAAGGTATTCTCTGGTTTTTACAATGTACTGTTCATTATGGATAAGATTTTATTTTGATAAATCAACCAGTGTTTGTTGTACAGCAAGTAATATTTACTGATGACCACGTTTCAAGCACAAACTATTGCCACGCATAATCAGATCAAGTCACTCACTCACACAACTTTCTTGCTTCATTTATATACATGAGTGGAATTGATGATTAGACATTTGAATAAAAATCAATATGTGATAATGTACATTCAGAAATAATAATATGAGTGTTATTGATCAATTACAATCAGATGGGAAATAAGACGAGTGTTTTTATAGTCAAAATAAATAAGTAACTTGTTACAATGTTATGATGTATGTGAAATGAAATAGAATACAATTTAAGATTATTTATTACCCTCCTCTGATTTGACTGACTTGTGGTAATAATTTATTCCATGCATATCCTTGGTATTTGCATTGAATCATTTCTGTTGCGTGTGTTGGGTGTAGACTTGATCAACCAGGCAAGATTCAGCAATCACTCTCTCTCTCCACCTTCCAATATTGCTTCTTAGAATTTTAACCCTCTCCTTCCCACTCTACTGTGTGTGATTGTGTGTTGTTAATGCATGCACGGCAATGTAGTGCTGAGCTCTTTTCTATATTACTTATCTTCGTGAATGGGTTCAACCATTCATAACCTTAGCTAAATTCTTATCTTCTCACGGACAGTATGACTACCCCGCCCGACCTACTACTTTCACCTATGCAGTTAGCTGACTTAACTCAAAGTCGTTACAAGATATTCTGTAAATTATATTATTTTGAGCGAGTTTGTAGGTTTGAACGCCACTCTTATTCCTGCTTTATTAAGAATCCTACGTAGGGTCTCAGATGTCCCCTCCTTGTATAGTATAACAGTAGATGACTTATATTCTCTATTACTTATGTTGTTACCATTATTAGTTTCGCCATTATTTTTATTTTGCTTTTGGCCTATTTCGATCTTCCTAATGAATTTTATAGGATAGTTATTTAACACCAACCAGTTCTTTTTCTATCCGTTTTATTTCATCATTTAGGTCATTTTTTGTGCTAGTGAGTGCTACTGCTCAGTCTGTTAGACACCGTTAGACACACTTAACTAAGCCTGTCTTCACAGATAGGTAACGACGGATAAGATGAATTAAAGTCTAAATATCTATTAGCAGAATGCGTTGGTTTTCTATAAACGCTAGTGTGTAGTTTACCTTCTTCTATTCGTTTTATTTTGCAATCTAACATAGCTAATTCTGCTTGTTCATTTTACGGTTCAAATGTGAATTTTATTCCCTCTACTAGTGTGTTTATATGTGTCAAGCAGCTAGTGTGATATGTTTTCTTCTTAACACTGTGAAAGTGTCATCCACATATCTCCACCATATTTTTGGAGTAGGATTTAAATGTATGAAGAGCAATATTTTATTTCCCATCTGATTGTATTTGATTGATAACACTCGTATTATTATTTCCAAATGTACTTTATCTCATATTGATTTTTATTCAAATGTCTAATCATCAATTTTCACTCGTGTATATAAATGAAGCAAGAAAGTTGTGTGAGTAACTTGATATGATTGTGAGTGGCAATAGTTTGTGCTCGAAACGTGATCATCAGTTAACATTACTGTACAACAAACAATGTGTGATTTATCGAAAAAATTCTTATACATAATTGAGTTATACTCTACCACCACAGTGCCCAAGTTTTATACTTATATCAGTGTATTGCTCACTTGGCTTTGTTTAAATCAACCAAAAATTAATAATTAATAAAATTCTCTCTTCTATTCTTTTTTTTAAAAAATACCTCTTTTCCCTCCTAAAAATGAATACACAAGAATACGAAATTTCACATTTCCTGATGTTGATATCACCTTTGATATACCAAAAGCACTGACACTTTCAGATTGTGCATTTCTGATCACCTTTATGAAATTTGATAATTATTCTGTGGAATGTCAATCGTATTATCCGTATAAAAAGCCTAAACCAAGTAAGTAAACGTTTGTAGTTCAATATTTTTTTTTACTAAATTTAACTCTCTTAGTTATGAAATCAACAAATTCTGAAGAAATTATACAACAAGACAGTACTATGCCTATTGATGGTGATTATCAATTAAGTGATACGAATAAAAAAGAAGAAGTAGGTTTTAATGTGTTGGATTTCTTTGTTTAAATTGAATATTGGACATTCTTCTTTAATTGGTTGATTTATAGCGATGGCGGTACAATTTAAACTCATAGTGAATGGTTATAACTATTGATATGTGTTGATTGGATTATTTAGATGATAAGATTTGGAAATATACAGCCTTTAGAAAACTTCTTGTAACTGAATACTTAAAATATTAAGAAAGTTTTTTGATTGAACACTAGTAACTAGTGTGACGCGTCTAGTCCTTTCTTTAGTGCAGACTGAATTCTATCAGTCAGGTTTTGCAATGTGGCCATCATTCTAGGTAGCCCGCCATCACGGTGTACATTGTTTGTGCGCCGGCGGGGTTCGATCCCCTGCCGGCGCACACCCGATATCTATGGTCGGCCTGAATTTGGGCTACCGATATCCATGCTGAAAATTCCACACTTGTACTGAAAATACGGTGTGGAATCAAGCTGTAAATCAAAATAAAAATAAAAATGAAAAATAAAAAATAAAATGATATTAGATAGTTGGAGGCAATCGACAGGAAGCCTTGGACCTAGGTTTCGTGCTAGTTGGCACTCACCAGCAAGGCGTATCTGCAACCTTGAAGGAACTCAAAGAAAGGACTAGACACATCACACTAGTTACTAGTGTCCAATCAAAATACCCACTACAGTCCTACAGGAGGTCAATCGGGAGCCCGAATAGCTCAGTGGTAACATCTCTGACTGCAGCACTGAGTGACACGGGTTCGAATCTCAGAAGGGACATGAGTTCCTTCAAGGTTGCAGATACGCCTTGTCCAAACTGGTAAGTGCCAATTAGCACGAAACCTGGATCCAAGGCTTCCTGTCAACTGCCTCCAACTATCTAATATCACCAAATATTAAGAACGTGTTGAATTTCAGAGTTTGTTACCACCTTATTGTTCTAATGACTAGAACTCCAGAATTCCGGCTTGAAGAAAGGAAACGACACTATTGGTTCTTCTACATAGCTTACCGAACTTCTGTGAGCCAAACATGGTCAAAATTTATATTCCAAAGACCTCAGAACATGGTTCTATGCAACAGAATCCGTTATACTGTAACGACAGAAGACAACAATCAGGCAACAGATCGTTTATTGAGAAAATCATGGGATATTTATAGATTTCTACGTACATTATAATTTTTTATTTATTTTATTATAGCTTAATTCCACAGAGTATTTTGGTACAAGTATGAAATTTTCAGCATGTGATATCGGTAGCCCAAATTTAGCAGGCCGACCATAGATATCAGGTGTGCATCAGCGGGGGATCGAAACTCGTTAGCGTTATTGTTAGCAGAGAAGCAACATCTTCTAATTGGTTGTTTTCTCGCTGAAGTTTATTTTGTACCACTCGAGACCGTTTCTTAGAAAGTTAAGCCATATATCTGTGAATCATATTTCCACACTTTAACTCCGCTGTGATTGGCTGGTGATTTTCTCAAGGTTAAGCTTTTTTATTGCTTTTTCTCATGACCCCGATTCGGGACTTAACACTGACATAAGTTGTTGTCTACAATTTTGGCTTGTTCGCAGCCGGCTTTCACCACAATACTACTAAATGTTGGCAACTTATATCACTACAACGTTCAAATATTAGACAGAGGAAACACGAAGAACGCTAGAGAATTTCTAGAAGCCTGGTGTTCCTGTGAATCATCAATCAATAGACACATCGAGATAGACAAAATTTACCAACTGACAAGAAGGAAACCTCACGCACAAAGGGTCAAGTTGAAGTTGAGGAAACAATAAGTTCCAATATAAGTAGCCTAGATGGTGTGAAGACACACAAAAATAACGAATCACATTCGAGGTCATCCACCAGTAGAGATGACTAATAAACTCGTGGAGAAATCTAAAAGCTCAATTCAATTCAAATTCAAAGTATGCTCTGAAGATGTTACCTAATATGGGACAATGAAAGCTTTGCAAATTAACTATCCAGCTCAGACAACACAACCACATCAAAAACTGTTCTTTTCACGTGGACTTTCTGTAGATGAATCTTCTTACCGAGTTATCAGCATTTCTTAGCAGTTGAACACAGCTTTAAAATACTTGAGAATGATAATCACAATCCTCGTGTTAATTAGTGAACCCTGTATGAGGAAGAAGAATTTTCTCAACACGATGGGATTAAAGCCCCGTTTGCAAGAATCAGACAAAACAAAACGCGCTTCCAACAAGCAGTCTAAGTTCAAACAGTCACTCTATCACGTAACCTTGATTTCACTCAAACAAAATTGGAGTTTTAAGACAACACATTATCAATATCATCAGACAGCAACAAACAGAAGCATTAAAAAACAGGAATTTATCAAAAATAAAAATTACTAATAAGGATTAAGTCCAAAGGAGGTTTGCAAATCTTAAAGCAATAGAATACACATCAGGGAAAAAGAGTAATATTTGCAAGACTAGACAGAATATTCGAATAAGTAAATTGTTCATAAACAAATGCTTAGATCAATTATCTCACTACAACTATTGTTACACTACAGTTGTGAACAGAGATCCAACAGACATGATCTTTTGCGTCGGTGGTCTAACAGTAAGATGCTCGCCAAACATGCATTTGCCCTGGAATTCGATTCCCAACTGGAGCACGTCTTTACCTCTCTTAGCTGGTTATAAGCCCAACAACGAGGGCATAAGGCTAGCAACTCCACCCTGTAAAGAAATCACCATCGCAACTAGAACTTCAAAGCTCAATCTCGAAGCCTTATGCTCCACTGGAGACGCAAAGGAATAGAATTTTTTTAAACAGAATATATGATCTTCTTTAGTTTTCTCATCCACAGAAATCATTTCTGAGGAATTAGTACGTTTTTAATAGTGATTTCTGTCTCCATTGTCACTTTATAACACTGTATACTAACAAATGTGCGTGATATATCTAATTACAAAACGATGAACCAAAGTCAATTTGAGAACAACTGGAAAATAGCTGTTTAGTCTCTGTTTAGAACTCTTCAACAGCACAAGCCTACCACACTTCTAGAGATCAAGTTATGAGAAGAACAGTAAATTTAGAAAACAGAAAGATTGAGTGAAGAAATATTTGCTTTTCAATTAGATCCTCATTTCTGGCAGCTGTCTGTAGAAGACGAACTCGTAGAGCAAAGTTAAGATTAGTAGGAATGCGATAAATAATTTTAAATGCAGTATTCACATCAAACTTATGCTCACTGTCTACTAGGTATGCTAAAATAGAGCTACGAACAGATATTGTCTGTCCCTTGCTTAACTATGTTGGATGATATTCGGAAATACGATGAATAAACGTGCCTAATTGTACGCCCAATGTAGCTGGCTCCGCAGCTGTAATCAAGCTGGTAGATACACATAGAAGAAGCAAATTTAGTTAGTTTATCCTTATTTCTCGAGAGTAGAATAGGGGTGGTTGTGAAGAGACAAAGTACCTCTGCTGCATAACAAGCTGTTTTAACTGCATTCTTTAGGCGCTGTGTTATTATTTCACTGATGTTGTCACCGAGCAGCTGCAATTTTATGAACATTGGCTTTTTCGAAACTGTAGCAATACTAACTCTCCTTGGTGCTGAATTCATATTTTTCTCAATGAATTTATCTAGGTAACCATTTTTTCTAAGTAATTCTCTAATAATCTTAAGCTCTTCATTGAGGCTGTCGTCTGAACAGATTAACCCAGCTCTATGAACCAGACACTTTACCAGGTTACGTTTATATTTCAAAGGTACAAAACTCAAAACATGGGTGTACTGACCTGTTGTTGTAGGTTTCCTATACACACTCCTTCTTAGTGTGCCATCTTCTTTCCTTGCCATGAAGACGTCTAAGAATGAGATACTGTCATTACTTTCCTTCTATATGGTAAAGTTTATTGCTGAATGTGCATCATTAAACTTGTCAAGGATGTTCATTGCATCATTCTCGTCTTTCATAACCAGAAATGTATCATCCATATATCGACGGTAGAAATCCAAGTCATTAATTACTCCTTTCTGTGGTCCATTCTCCAACTTAGCGAGGAAAAAATCAGCTAGGATTGAACCTAATGGGGAACCCATAGCTACACCATCAATTTGTCTGTAATATTCCTTATTACATAAGAAGTGAACATTCATTGTACATCTTAAAATAAGTTCCTTCAAGGTGGATACAGAAATGCCGATGTCTATGTTTCGTGTAGTAATCTCCTCACATTTAAAATCCACTGTCTCCATTAACGGTACATTGGTGAACAAGGAGGATACATCAAAAGATATCATAAACTTGTCCCTTACATTAAGATCTCTTATTTTTCCAACAAATTCAAAACTACCGTTTACGCTATGTTTTACCCATTCGTTATGCAGAGGTTTTAGGAGCTTCACTAACCATTTTGCTGTTGCGTGTATATATCACGAATCGATAGATGTTGGAATCCCTAGATTGGATTTCATGAATTCATTGGATTCTAACTCAGAGATTGAGTGGCGATGTGCTCATGCCGTAACCTAAAGGTCTTGGATTTGATTCTTGGTGTAGTCATGTGTACATGCCTTTGAAGTATGCTAATCTATGTTGCAATATTTACCTAGCACCTCCCGATTTTGAGTGGTTCCTTAACTTATATCAGTTAGTGATCCAATTCACCCTGAGATTAATCGAATCTCCACAAACTCAACACATCAAAGATATTTAGATGTGTTTCTTCCAATCCTTTGCGCATTCCGAGTGGAGCACTGGATTTCAGGACATAGCTATGAAGCTCCAGTAGCGGTATTTTAATTTTAACTGGATAGGTTTACTAGTTTTATGGCCAACCTTTCTTCATCATCGGCTTTATTGTCGGATAAATGTTTGCTAGTGAGTCTGAGGGGAATCAAACTACTCGGCGCAACCCTTAACACTTTATTTCTTTTAAAATCCATCTAATTTATAAATATACTGATTTATTCTTTCATAAATATCTTCTTTTTTAAAGGATTTATTGCTTGATGACGAAGAACAAGTGACTGAAGTAGAAGAAATTATTGAAATACCTCTAGAAGATCGAATCCCTACACCAGGTGATTTTTCTTTATACGTCTTAGTCTTTCCTTGCTATTATAATGTTTGTTCTGTATAATCATAATAATGATAATTATTATTATTATACGTCCCTCATATGCCAAATGGAACTCAGGCCTTCAGCAGAACCTCTTTATTTCATTCCCTCCTCTGACGTCTTCGTTAGCTGGTTCTAAGTTTGTCTGCCTGTCTGTCTTATTTCCTCTCCACATAATATAATCCTTATCATCCTCAAACGTACGCCGAATTCTTGGCTTCCCATTTGAGTTCCACTCGGAAGCCTACTGTGTGTCCCCTACAGTCCCCTACACCGTTGCCATCACTGTCTGACTGAGGAGTTTCCCTGAGCCGAGTCACTACTGCTGAAAGTGGATGGTTTTAAACACCGAAAAGCTCGGTTTCCAAACATCCTATGATACCAGCAAATATTTCGAGTATTAGGCGATGTGGTCCACTGTCTTGAGACTGACCGTCGACGTTGCCTTGACTTGAACGGTGATCTACTATTTCGTGCACGTAAGCTTGGATTTTCAGTTTCTAGCTTTTCCATCTTATTTACCAATACCGAAATCGCTGATAATATAGGTGTGTCCGCAGCAGACGCTCCTTGAACTGGTAACCCATGACCTGTTGATAAGTTGTAGATAGTGGTGTCAGGCATCACATCTAGAATTTTGTCTGCAAGCTCACTTAGTGCATCTCGGTCAACGGATTTGGAGGAAATAGTCAAAACCTTTTGGATATGTCGTGGTAGTCACCGCAACCACATCCACCGTAAAATCACTTTGTGGATTAAGCAGTCGACGTATTTGCCTGAGAAGCTAAGATGGCGTCCGTGAGCCTAACTCACATGCAGTGAGTGAGTAATTGCTGGATCCGTTTCTCAACAGAAACACTCCTTCTTTGGATCAAAACTGCTTTGAGTCGATCATATTGGTGGTCTGCAGGAGTGCTGTCGATTAAATCACTAATGTCTTCGAGAACTTCTGCGGGCAGTGCCACTAAGACACACACATACTTTGAAATCTGTGACTTAATACCCTGGAGAAGCAAAAAGCGGTTTAATGATGGTGAACCAAATCCGAGGCTCAGTGAAACCAATTGGAGGTAGACTCAGGTCGACTATTGCGTTGATTGTTAAATCCTGTGCCTCGTCAGTCTCAGGTGTAGCAAGTGAACGGGTGGGTGAAGTCATGGGTATTATGGGAATATACAGGTACACAGATATAAAAAATATATAGAATGTGCTGTCCAAAATAAAAATGATAACAATATAAATATAGAGTTTATAAAGCCAAAATATTCAGTCGGTCTCACCAATTAATTTGTAGGGGACTGTCTAGCGAGCTCAATAACATAACAAGTATGAGAATAAAAATCCAAGTTAATGAGATGATAGTGTAATAATATATTATAAAAATTACAGCAATGAGTTATATTAATTAAACAGTTACTTGGATATACAGTTAAAGTTCACGACTACAAATTATTAATATAATCCACAGAGGCATTCACTGCTGGGGTCCTGTCTACTGCTAGAAACTGGGGACCGGTTGCAGAATTGTCTTCGGATGAGGATAATTTTATTTTTATTTTTTTATTTTGATTTACAGCTTGGTTCCACACCGTATTTTCAGTACAAGTATGGAAATTTCAGCATGGATATCGGTAGCCCAAATTCAGGCCGACCATAGATATCGGGTGTGCGCCGGCAGGTGATCGAACCTCAAACCGTGTGCATGGTCGGCGAGAGTCCTAACCACTGTGCCACCAACGCACAATCCAAAGTATACAACACAAAAACTTGGAGGATCTGGACTTCGCCGATGATATTTGTCTGATTTCTCACAAACTGGAAGATGTGCAAGTGAAAAACAACAAGTTGGCAGAAGAAGCATCAAAGATAGGACTTCAGGTGAACATAGAGAAGACAGAGGTGATGAAGATTCCTGGCCAACACCAACAGCAACAACAACAATAGACAACAAACAGTATAAATGGGAAGAACCTGAAAGAAACAACCTCCTTTACCTACCTGGGAAGCATCGTTCCAAAGACAGGCGGAACTGACGAGGATATCAAAGCAAGAATCGGAAAAGCAAGACAAGCTTTCACTACTCCCAAATCTGTGTGGCGGTCAACAGCACTCAGCATCAAAAATAAGATCCGGATTTTCAACTCCAATGTGAAGTCAGTGCCACTTACTATACGGATCAGAGACTTACACTGCGCGTCATAAAGAGCATCTCAAACAAACTACAGACCTTCATTAACAGTTGTCTTCGCTCAGTACTCAAGATCAGATGGCCAGGAAAGATCAGCAACAGAGATCTCTGGGAGCGAACCAACCAGGAACCGATTGTGCAACAAATAGGCAGGAAGAAATGGAGATGGATTGGAGGCCATACTCTGAGGAAACCATCAAGTGACATCACGAGACAAGCCATCGCTCGAGTGGAACCCGAAAGGGAAACGGCGAGTTGGTCGTCATTGTGAGGGTGAATTGGAGGAGGTTATATGAAGAGGAGATGAAAACGTGTAGGCAGACTTGGAGCCAGATGAAGACTCTAGCAGAGAACCGAACGCAATGGAGACGCATGGCTGAAGCCCTATGTTCCTCTAGGAATTAAAGGAATCAATAATAATAATAATAACACGGTTATGAGTGAACCAAGTAGACAGTACAGACTACTGAGATAGCGAAACGGCCACACCAGTACACTGTATTTCAGACTGTACTCGGAAGTTATCCATATTCCAACATGAATCGTTTTAAACAAGTCATGTACAATGTTTTTAATTTCAACATCTAACAAAAGAGTGTACAATCATATTGTCACGTACTCCACACGTGTGTGTGTGATTTCACTCAAAAGTCTCTTCAGAGTATGTACAATCCATTATTTAATGCTTATCCTTTTTGCCCAGCCAATGATATTCAGGATCGAACGGAAACCAACAACCTATCTGAAGAAGCAGAGAAGAGAGTACTTCAGGTGATGAACATAGAGAAGATGGAGGTGATGAAGACATTCATACTCTAACAACAACTAGCACCAGTGAATATCAACGGAAAATTTTTGAAAGAGGTTACTTCGCTCACTCATCTGAGAGGCATCGTTTCAACTACAGGCTGGCGGAATAGATGAAGATGTCAGAGGCAGTCAGAATCGGAAAGGAAACGTACACCTTCACCAGTATGAAGTCAGTTTGAAAATCTTCCGCTGTCACTCAGCATAAAGAACAAGATTTGCATTTTCAGCACCAATGTTATATCAGTCAGTTATTCTGAACGGGTCAGAAACTTGCCCTGCGCATCATCAGTCACGAAAAGTATTTCCAACAGCTTGTTGCAGACCTCAATCAACAGCTGCCCCCTTCGCTGGCTCTATACTGAAGATCAAATGGCCGGCCAGCCATAAAGAATTACCAACAAGAAACTCTAGCTACAAGGATGATCTAATATAGAAACAAGGTTTATTAAATAGCAACTGTGCGTCGGTGGCACAGCGGTTAGGACGCTCGCCAACCATGCACATGGTCCAGGGTTCGATTCCCTGCCGACGCACACCCGATATCAGTGGTCGGCCTGCAAAATTTGGGCTACTGCTATCACATGGTGAAAATCCCGTACTTGCGTCAAAATACTGTGTGGAGTCAAGCTATAATAAAAAAAATTAAAAAATTAAAGTAAGCTTGACTTAGTAAGTTAGATGACGTAATATAATTGACTAAAATGTTTCACCTCAGGTCAGGATAGCAACAGAGGTAGTTACAGGTAGAGATTAATTAGAGGTGGGGTAGAGAATAATGCCACTTAAATAAGGACTAAAATTGAGCAAATAAATTGGATGACGTAACATAAATGACTAGAAATTGAGCATCGGTCAAGTCAGTAACAGTGGTAATGAGGTGTAGAAATTAAATAGGGCGTGGATAGACAACAGAAAAGTTGAAAATGTGAAATATTACAATTAGAAAGACAAAATATTACTAATGCAGAGACAGAAGGAAATAGAATTTACCTGTCGGGTATTGAGATAGATTACATCCATTGCAAGTGTAGTTATTAAACCAATTTCTTCTGTACGCAGAGTTCAGGACTTAGAAAATGAATTACCATTGCTTCTGCAGTTTGCAGAAGTCCAATTCGTACACTTTTATGAAGATTGCTTCTTATTCTGTAGACGACTTTGAAGTTTGTTGGGGGGGGGTGTAGCTTGGTGTCCGGAATCTATCAGATAGAGCTGCGGGGGCATCTATTTTCTCCTTCAAATGCTGACGACCTGACTGTATCTTTGCCTGTCAAGTGTCAGAATGACTGCTCTCAACTAAATGGCTTTCTATCAGAAATCAGCCAGTGGTCCAAGGAAAACGGTCTTACCTTAAACCCCTCCAAATGCCAAACAGTCAATTTCACCTTTAGGCATAAATCTGACCTAAACAAACTGGCTAGCACTCACGAGGTGTGCAACATGGAGACCAAGACGGAAGTTAAATATCTTGGCGTCATTCTATCTGCTGATCTTTCCTGGTCGTCTCATATCTTAGCGATTTCTAAGAAAATATTCTGTCTTACGTTCTACATCAAGAAGTTAAGACATTCTGGATTAACCCAACCCTTACTCCTACGATTCGTTAACTCTTGCATCCTGCCTGTTATTCTCTATTGTTCCCCCTTAGTTTTTCCCGGGCTACTGAAGAAAGACTTTAAGGTATTACGCAGGATGTTAAATGTTGTCAGCAGGGTAAACAACGTGCCACTTAACCAGCTTGTTAATATTCTGGTCGACAGGCACTTGGAATCATGTGAAAAATGGGCTAAATCCATTTTATCTAACTCACACCACCCTCTTCATTCACAACTCTCCCCTTGTATCTCATCAGGCAGGACCAGAAGCCTATATAGAAAACTATATGCTCGCAATAGGAGATACCATACCCTACTTAGCTCGTGTTCTGTGTGATAAAGAAAGCATTAGGCGTGACACCTATAATTCATTAAATAGTCAGTAGTACAACTGGACCTCGTCCTTCCAACTAATATTATTTATGGGTACAACATTTTCTTTCTTTCTTTTCCTATTCTCTCTCTTTCTTTTTCTGTTATATGTTGCTTTGTTTCTTTCTTCCGCTTACACCAGTAAATATGACAGCACTTACTTTTGTAACACCTTCAAACACTGTTCAGCTTTGGCTTTGCTACCGACATCCCAATATGTTGTTGTCATAGTGAACTGAGATTTCCTTAATCTATGTAGAATTCTATTTATTGATAATGTACTAAGTGGATGCAATACTGTAGTGAAATGCTGAGAATTCCATTCTGTACCACAAGTACTGTTATTATTATTGTTATTTGTAAAACTATGCTGGTAAGTATTAGGTGATACATTTGGATAATGAACTCTGGTTATGGCCAATATACCTGGCTCCACAAGAGCAGGTGAATTGGTAGATACACATTGATGAGGCCGTAAGAGAAGGCATTAAGTGGCACTAGAAATTGCTCAGTCAATACTGCACATATGATAAGAATAAAGGTAATTAAAATGATGTATTGAGGGGCTAGACCTGAAGTGGATGAATTGCAAAACTTTTAAAGATTACTAAATAAGTGAACTGGTATTAAGATTTTAAAACTGTGGGTCAGGTGTTGTCTGAGGAATTAAGAATAAGACGATGATGACAATAAAGACGGTGAAGGTGAAGTGAATGGGATGCATGCAGGTGGTAAAATAAAAATACAATAAAAGAACATAAGTATGACGAAGGTAGGGAAGGGAGTTTAACTAAACGTATTGGAAAGATAATTTAGGTTTCTGTCCATGAACAGCTAGAGTCTCGGCAGGCTATGCATAAGCTGGAGAAAACGTAAGCTTGTGGAGTGGTTGGATTTGCACCTGTAAATAACTTTGAAGGATAAATAACTTAGGGTTGAATGACCTGACTCTAGAAGGCGTTCACAAATTGAAGACTTTGACGTCCTTTTCTCACATTTCACTAACCAAACTGGGTGGTAGTGTTTAGCTACGTGCTTACGGAGATTACGCTTACAACCTCTAATGTAATCCTCTCCACTCGAGCATGTGAATGAGTGTATGCATGCACGTAGAGGTGGACATAAGCGGTAATTTATCCATGACGCATTGTCGAATCATGTTTTAGGCTGGTAAATACTAAATTTAAGTCAGCTGCATAAAAGGAGCGTTTAATACATTTAGATCAAGGGATTTTAATTACTTCAGAAATACTATCACCTTTGAAAGCCAAACTCATAAACAGTATCTTCTTTGGCATTGTGATTTGGCTAAGGACGGTTTCTTTCTTGATGTTTCTGTCAATAAACCTTCTAGGATATCCATTATTTAAGACAGCTTTATGAAGGATTTCTAATTCTAAGTCGATCATATCTACAGAGCGAATTTTCCGAATTCTGGAAAAAAAGAAATTTCTTCGCTGAACAAAAAAAACTGTGTTTTTCCTTATGAATTATTGAGTATATTTTCCTATGTAAAACCTAAAAGTTGATTATGTAAATGTACGTAGAAATTTCTCATATTTGTAATGAAACCACAGCACGTTAAATTAAAATAAACTGTAAAGATGTGGAAAGAGATGACCTTTTTCAATAAGTTTGAGAAGTTAAAAAGCTTCGTTGTCTGAATAGGCCCTTCCATTTCTAGTCCCCTCATTTTAGAACAGTACTTGTAGCTCCATTACAGTTAAGTTGTCAAGCTGTAACGACAGAAGACAAGAACCAGGCAACAGATCGTTTATTGAGAAAATCAAGAAATATTTATAGATTTTTGTGTACATTATCGTTAGCGTTGTGGTTAGCGGAGAAGCAACCTCTTCTGATTGATTGTATTCTTGCTGGAAGTTACTCTGTACTGCTTGTGTCCGTTTCTCAAAAAGTAAAGCCATCTATCTGCGAATCGTATTTGCACACTTTAACTCAGCTGTGATTGGCTGGTTATTTTCTGAAGGTTAAGCTTTGTTATTGTTTTTTTCTCATGACCCTGATTCGGGACGTAACACTGACGTAAATTGTTGTCTACAGTTTTCGCTTGTGAACAGCTCTCGCCACACTTGTCCTCCCGTTAAAGACTTTTGCCTAAAGTTGGTTCGGTCTTCTTGGTTCTGATGGCTTTGTTCGTTTGTCTCGCTGTCTAGAATTCCGGTGCTCGCTGACGTTCACCAGTTTCTCTTTGTTTACATTTATGATCGTATCTACGTGGCCCCGTCTCACAGTGACCGTGTGTGGTCCTTCCCACTTTGGGAACAGTTTAATTGACCCTAGTACGCAATCTTTGGTGTTTCGCCTAACACTTTCATATGCTGCTTTCGCCCGACCTCCCAGCGGCGTTCCAAGTAACAGCCCTGACGGATCTTGAACGCCACTCAACTGCGCAACAGCCTCGAAGACCTGCTTGAAGATCCATATGTCTCCATTAAAAACTGCAGTGCATAGGCTTTCCGTCTATAGGCAGGTAGTGACATCAAATGTAACAACAGAAGACAAGGGCCAGGCGACGGATCGTTTATTGAGAAGCAACGTCTTCTGATTGGTTGTTATCTTGCTGAAGATTATTCTGTTATCCATTTGTGGCCGTTTCTTAGAAAGTTAAGCCACATATGTGCGAATCATATTCGCATACGTTAAGTCTGCTGTGATTGGTTGTTGAGTTCCTCAAGGTTAAGCGATTTGGGACTTAACACCACACCATTAGAAAATAAATGTTTCACCATATAGACAGATTCAAACTTCATGCCATAAAATTGTATTTCATCAAAATGTCTAATATTTCAAATTCTTATTTCGACTTTTCTATTATTATTATTATTATTATTATTATTATTATTATTATTATTATTAGAGCCTGATGAATGGATGACAGTCAGTATGGAAGAGGATGCTGTTGATTTAGGCAATTACCATGTAGTTGGTGGGGTAATCCGTTTCGATCTTGTCACACTACCAAGACAACCAAAGTCTGGAAGAGGATGGACTATAACCACATGTGTAAAACCACCGAAACTTCGTCCATTTGAATATGTAGTTGATGAAACTCACAAGACTTTTGAATCAGTAGGATTGGAATTAAGTAAGCGAAGAGAAGTATTATGAGATTTGATGTTTTATTTTTAAAGAAATATATATATTTCTAGGAATTTGATAATTGGTTCCAAGTTTCAGCATGGAGGAGTGATATCAGTTAGAAAAGGAAAAAATTGACAGAAGTTAGATTTTATATGACTCTGGATTTCATCTCAGTAGTTGTTTCGCATATGCCAGTTTACGCCATCTCTGGCGTAGACGCGATATCCGACTATCGACCAAAGGGCGTGTGTACTGCTCAACAGTCCGCTCCGTCCTCCTTTATAGCCGTGAGACCTGGCGATTGAGAGCGGAAGACATGAAAAGATTAGCTGTCTTCGATCATAGGTGTCTGCGTTCTATCTCCCGTCTGAAGTGGTATAATAAGCTGAGCAATATTGAGGTTAGGCGTCGAGTGCCAGGTAAGGAGGGGGAATCAGTCGACGAGACTGTGAAATTACATCGACTGAGATGGTTAGGACATGTACTACGCATCCCTAGACATCGATCGCCTTCCTCGACGGGCAATGTTAGCTGATATAGGGTCAGGCTGGAAAAGAGCTAGCGGTGGTCAAACGAAAACATGGCACCAGTCAATGAAATCCACAACAGTTAGTCTAAGTCACGTAGGAAGATGTAGACTTCCTGGTTGAGGTCCTCGGGACGGTAGAAATCAATGGTTGGAAACAATTGGTGACATGGCTCAAAATCGTTCTCATAATGGCCAGCGCAGATGCATCCACTCCTTGTGACTTATGATTTCCAATGAAACTGTTTTATTCTTCGTTATTACTATTCCTTTGTCTCACACCTCTGTTTACTGTCTATATTATGCATTTCTTCTACTTTCTTCTCTTGCTCTGTGGGCTACAAGGAGGGAGTGTGGCGACTTGAACTGCCGCACATATGTGCAAAGTTCTATGTTGAAAACCGACCGAGTTGTAACCTGAAAGTTCTGGGTTCACTCCCAGGTGGCGTTATGTTTGAGTACTATTGAAGAGTCACAAAGTAGGACAAAACAGCGCTGTCCAGTGATTCTGAAACTGATGTCAACTCATGATGAAATTTGAGAAAACAATACATTACTTACAATCGATAAAACTTTCTCTACTTAATAACTGCAAATATTAGAGCTTGTGGATTAGTGGGCTACCACATAATGCTTTGTCCGATAGTAGCTCTGTTGACAGTGTAAGTGACTGTAGATTGTTGCAATGGTCCCCAGATCAGTGACTCGACTCCTCTTCAACCGAACTGGTTACTTCTGGGTGCACGTGTGACATAAGACAGTGTTATTCGTCAGGATCCATTGATTCAAGGAGTCAGTAACCACATCATCAATGCGCTATCCACATTTGCGACATGCGAGGCGTTGGGTGACCACTTTCAGTGTGTCTTTGGTTCACTTGTGGAATTATCACCAGCCACACGTGTGGTTCAGGTTCGACTTCCAGGCGACGCACTCTTAAACCTCGCCTAGCGGAGTAGTTAGCCAGCAGAATAGGGGAGCTAGCAACCCCACTCCGTAAAAGCTTAAAGCCTTGTGTTCCAGTCAGAATACAAAGAAACTAAAGTGTATTCTATGATGACTCGACAAAAGATAGTAACATCCCTCATCGTCACACTGATGTCACGTTTTATGTCATTGAATTATGCTTCCCAAGATGACTGTGATTAGCCTTATCCTTCTCCTCAAAGAGCCCAAATAAATCTCAAAATTCCTGGAACTATGTAACCACCATTATAAAGGTTTTCTTGTACTTCCCAATGAATGAAAAACAAAACGATATTGTTGTGTTCACTGACGTTTCGCTATTTGGTGCTACTGCTAATAATTTCATCAAAGTAGTATTATCAATCCTGAATTTACAAAATTCACTCAGCTTATATATAACAACTTAATCATCGTTCCTTACCATGGGGTCATTTTCGCGTTGTAAAATTGGCCATTTGGTAAAGATAACAAAACCAGGTGTGTGTAGATTGTTGGATTTGATAAGTGCGTAAAATTATAAAAGCAGCGTGCGTTTACATTGCGAAATTGTTGGTCATATTCGTGTTGATTTTGTCATTTCATGGTTCATCATTCCTATTCACCAGACAACTTCGATTCCACTTGATATGAAGCGCTTCTGATGATGTTAAACGTTCTTTGTGATTTCTGAAATGCTTTTTCTGGATGATGATTTCAATATCGTCAAAATCAATTTTGTGGCCTGATTCTATAGCGTGTAAACCTATGGCTGGCTGATGATTTGTCAAGCTCTTCTAGTTCAACTGGATTTCTCGGTGTTCATATCTTCTGATTCCCTTGATTTCTCGAGATATTTTTCCGATGTATATCGCATCACATTCCAAGCAAGCATTTTATTTTATAGACCCAATTGGGTAGGGAATCCTTAGGGATCTGGTCTTTTTATCGACAGTGTGCCTGATGTTTTGAAGAAAACTCTGATATCAAGCTTATTGAGGACTCTTCTGATGTCGTCTGACGTCTCTGCTCAATGTGGAATGACAACTGTTGAGGTCCATGTTTTCGGAATGCATTTTCGACCATACTTAATGTCAGTGTTGATTTTGTTGATGAAGTTCCTTGGGTAGCTGTTTTGCTTGAGGAGAGTCTCAGTAATGTTTGATATTTCTTCTTCTTTTTCTTTCTCATCCGTTATCAAAGAGTGTGCCCGCACTGAGGAACGATGATTAAGTTGTTATATATAAGCTGAGGAGATTTTGTAAATTCTCGTTTGTAACTCCTACTATGATAAAGCTAATAGCAGTAGCATTAAATAGCGAAACGTCAGTAATCACAACATTGTCGGTTTGTCGTTTTCATACACTGGGAAATACAAAGAAAACCTTTATTATAATGAATATTATATACCCAATGCCCAAATTTTTCTTTAAACTGTTAAAAGTGAACTTGGCTTGAACATGTATGTAACCATTGGATGCAGTCTACCGTAACAACCATACCTTTCTCTTTTCAAAGACTAATGACAAATAATTCAAATTATTCACAATTACTTGTTTCTGGAATATCCCAAATTCAAATCATAACCTTTATACAAGGGGTGACTTTTACGACCCATGATTTAACTCTCTTTCCGTCTGGACTGCTACGTGCTAGTTGAAGTCTGAGTGGGAACACAATTTTCCAATGGGTGATGCAGGTGTATTCAGTTGATGAGCCCCAAATGGGACGAAATGCGCATCCTGGATTCCACTGCTGGTCACCATCCACCAATTAAAATTATTGGGTCTGTCGTTGAATCAGTGTAGCACTGATCTATTGGATTTCATTCGCCTTTGGTCTTGTTTTGTGATCTGACCTGGAGAAATCTAAAAGCTCACTTAAAATGGAAGTATGTTCTGAAGATGTTGCCTAGTAGGTGGCAATGAAAGCTTCACAAATAAACCACCCCGTCAGTTCAGAGAACCCAACTATATCAAGCATTTTCATTTGCACAAATCTTCCATGTTATGCTACTGATGCCCTTAGTTTTATGTTTCGTTGTCTTCTTTTCGTATCTCCCATGGCTTGCCGCAACACTAGTTCATTTGCTCTCTTTGACGTTAAATCTATCGCTCCAATATTTGATATTTTTGTGTACTAATGGATGTTTTTTATATACTACTGTTAAATCTTATAAGTAGCATATGCCATAAATGTATATTTAGTGAGTATTTTTTAGAATACTATGTTCTATCTATTCTCTACAATCAGAAACTGAAGGCGAATCAACAGTTGGCGAAATGGCACGTAAACAAGGGAAGGATAAAAAGCCTCCAGTTCAAGTGAAAATACGGTAAGTTATGTCTGGAATGCAGAAATATTGTGTGTATCGATTTCTTTTTCCACCTACGCATTAGCTGGAATTCCCTCAGGATAGCGCCTGTTTCACTGGCTGACTGACTGAGAACCAGGTACACCACTACTTTCTACTCACAGTTCTTCAACACACCACAGTACATAACTGACGACTTCAGTTTGATCTTCCCAATGTAAAGACAGAAGACGGATTGAGAAAGCAAAATTAATTCTTTCAGGAGACAAGGCTGAACGTTTGGTTCACAGCTTATTTTGGTGTTCTGATAGATCGATAATGAGTTATGAGTTCTTCTAACTAGACTAGAATGTGACTACAGAACACGACACTAAAACCAACCTGTAAATATCGCCCCTACAGATGTGGCCACCGACGCGTCGGTGGCATAGTGGTTAGGACGCTCGCCGACCATGTACATGGTCCGGGTTTCGATCCCCGGCCGACGCACTCCTTTACCTCGCTAAGCCAGAAATAATGCTGGTGAAGAGAAAAGGTTGGGCATGAGGCTAGCAACCCATACTGTAAAATAAACACTGCTACAGAAACTTCAAGCTAGTGGCTTGAAGCCCTATGTTCCACTGGGGAACGTGAAGAAAAAAAACAGATGTGGCATTATGCAGATTGTTGGGAAGCAGCCAAAACTGAAATCAACACTTTAAATCAATAACTGTATAGTTTACATTGTGGAAATGAGATAAGCTCATTGGATAATTTGTTTAACCTTGGGTCGATTGTCAAACAATCAGAATAGCTTTATTCTCTTCTGACCTAGACAAACTTTAATGGGGTTAAAAATGTATAAATATGATGTGTTTTTCTTTAATAAACGCCAGTTTTCAAGTCTCCTATCTTATCGCGTTACACTAGTATAGACAGGAAAGTTAGACTAGGAAAACGAGACGACATTTTATTAAACAAGATACATGATGCATTGCATTTATAAAACCCTCAGAAAATTAAGCCATAAATAAGCCAATCAAAACGGCCCAGTAAGTTTTTCATGTTAGTACATGCATAAATCACAACTCCCCGGGCGAACAAAGATTCCTGTGTGTCCCAGCACTAGGGAACACTGATTGGTATTTGTATTTTAGAAAATATCTTACGTAATGTAAAGAATAATCTTGAAGAGGATACACGCATGAAAGTTTAAAATCTGAAGATGGTCTTACATAATAAGTGTATAAAAGAACCTAGTCACTCTAAATGTACAAAATAAACTAACGATGATTACCATTATTATTGTTTCCTTTAGTTCCTAGAGGAACATAAGTATTCAGCCTTACGTTTTCACTGCGTTTGGTTCTCTACCAACGTTTTCACCTGGCTCCAAGTCTGCCTACATGCTTTCATCTCTTCACATGATCTCCTCCAAGTCACCCTTGCACTGACGACCAACTTGCCACTTGCCATTCGGGTTCCACTCGAGCGATAGCCTAGAGTGTGGCGTCACTTGATGGTTTCCTCAGAGTATGGCCAATTCACCTAACTCCATTTCTTCCTGCATATTTGTGGCATAATTGGTTCCTGGTTGGTTCGCTACCAGAGATCTCCGTTACTGATCTTTTCTGGATGGCCATCTGATCTTGAGCATTGAGCGAAGATAGCTGGTGATGAAGGTCTGTAGTTTGTTTGAGATGCTCTTTATGACGCGCAGTGCAAGTCTCTGATCCGTATAGTAGCACTGACTTCACATTGGAGTTGAAAATACGGATCTTATTTTTGATGGTGAGTGCTGCTGATCCCCACACAGACTTGAGAGTAGTGAAAGCTTACCTTGCTTTCCCGATCTTCACTTTGATATCCTCATCAGTTTCGTCCGCCTGTAGTTGAAACGATGCTTCCCAGGTAGTTACGTAGGAAGATGAAGTAGGTTGTTTCTTTCAGATTCCTCCCATTAATGTTGATTGCTGCCTGTTGTTGTTGCTGTGGCTGTTGCTGTTTTCCAGGAATCTTCATCACCTCAGTCTCTCTATGTTCACCTGAAGGCGTATATTCTCTGGATGCTTCTTCTGCCACTTTTTTGCTTTTTATTTGCATATCTTCCAAATTGTGGGGAATCAGATGCACATATCATCATGGGTGAAGTCCAAATCCTCTAAGTTTTTGTGTGGATCAAACTAAAGATTATTCCTTACATCTTTTTATTCCTTTACCTTCCAAGTCGAACATGGGACTTCAAGCTGGAGCTTTGAAGTTTCAGTAGCAGTGGTGTTTGTTTTTACGGGATGGAGTTGCTAGTCTTATGCCTAACCTTCTCTCTTCACAGGCCTTACCACCGGCTAAGCGAGATTTTTCAGGAGTCCGTCGATAGGGGATTGAACTCTGGACCATGTTAGTGGTTAGCGAGAGTCCTGTAGTTGAACCATCGACGCAAACATGCCTTACACTAACTGCGAATAATTGGTTGGTTTCATGAATACTTTGTGGAATATAAATACTAGTGTGCAGCAACTTTCTAAAATAATCCATCTTTTTCTAGACTCATTTTTGAGAGTTTTCTTTTCAACAAAACACAGACTAATAATATGCCTCTTTTTCGTGTGTTGGACTGACTCTATAATAACTTGACTTCTTGAATGATTTACGTCGAATACCGCAGAAACAGGAAGATCTACAATCGAAAACCAACAAGTTTGCGGAAGACACGACTTCACGTGAACATAGTGGAAAGAGAATTGATGATGGCGCCTAACCAACAACAAGCATCAATCACTGTCAGATACAAGAACCTGAAAGAAAGGAGATACTAATGAAGATATCAAAGCCGGAATGGGAAAGGCAAGACAGGCCTTCACTACTCTGAAATCAGTGTGGAGATGTAGTGCATTCGGTAATATCAAGAAGAAGACCTCAATTTTTTCGAGGCTAATGTCAAGTTGTAACGACAGAAGACAAGGCCAGGCAACAGATCACTTATTAAGGAAATCAACGCATATTTATATATTTTCATGTACATTACTATGGATATTTAAGCAAACAAACACAGTCTTCCGATTGGTTGTTTCTCACGTAAAGTTAATCTTCCATCTATTTGTGACTGTTTCTTGAATGTCAAATCCTCTATATGTTGACTGTATCCGCCTACGCAAAGTCTGCTGTGGTCGGTTTTGAATCAATCTTTGTTCACATTTTCTCACGAGAAATCTTGGGAACGTAAATATTGACGTAAATTATTGTCTACCAACTTGGCTAGTAGACAGCTCTCACCACAAAGTCAATAGGCGCTTTCATAAAGTTCAGAGATTTGATGCATCATGAGTAACATTTCTAACAGGCAATTGTTGACTTTTATCAACAGATGACTTCTCTCTCCCTACTGAAGATTAGGCAGCCATCGAGAAAGGATGAACAACGAAGAACTCTGGCTGTGAAATAACAAATAATAAGGAAGTGTGTGCAAAGCTCTATTCTAGAACACCTGATCGACTCCTGTCACTATACCAATCCTGAATATGATTTTAAGATCATCTATCGAATGCACACTAACTTGCTGGCCGCGTTTTCTTCGTTACAGACTTCTAAAGACAGTGGAGGCCTTGCCCATTCATGAATTTAAACCAGACCTTTGTGTACAAAAAGAAGTATGTACAATGCCTACTTCTGCCCTGGCCGTAGAGGGATAGACATTTATTTATTTATTTTTGTTTATTTAGTTTTTCTATGTACCTTTCCCTCATTACTACGATTATTATTATTGTTACTATTCTAATTCTGAATTCTTTCCACTTGTCCCATTTGTCAATCTAAATTGAAAATTTTTTTAGAATGTTGAATTCTATCTTATAAAATTTCACACCATGTTGCGTCACAGCTAGCTCACGAGGATTAGCTGGTGTTGGGATAGCTTTGAGTACTAGGGCAGAAAAGACATTACTTGACTGGATCCCGGTAGATAGCCGAATGTGTGCTGCCCGTCTGAACGGATCAGTAAAAAGGAGAAAGGACTGCACTACTCGCCGATGCCTTTTCGTAATCTCCGCCTACGCCCCCATTGACTGCAGTTCGGATGAAACGAAGGATGACTCCTACCAAAAGCTGTCTAGTTTGCTGCGAAAGGCTAAACGCTCAGACGTAGTCGTCTTAGCTGGTGACTTTAATGCTCAAGTAGGGAAATTGTGTCAATCTGAGAAGAATGTCGGTGGCACATACGGAATCCGGTGCCAGCGAATCGACAACGGTGACCGTCTCCTACAGTTCTGTACAGATAATCATTTGTTTCTTGTAAGCACTAACTTCAAACACAAGAAGAGACACTGTTTGACCTGGCGACCCTCATCATCAAGCCAACGCTGGACACAAATAGACCACATAGCAATAAGCTATCGTTGGCGTGGGTCGGTAGGGGATTGTCGCTCCTTCTGGAATACGTGTGTAGATACCGATCACGCACTGGTCCGCGCTCGTGTGTGCTTACGACTGAACGGACGTAGGAAACAGCTGGCGGTAAACCCATCACGTCACCAGCTCGATCAGGAAACTAAGTCCCTATTTGAGGAAGAACTGGCTAAACACATATCTGAATTCGACAGCTGCGCTCACCCTGAAGAAGCCTGGAAGAATATTCAGTCAGCCATAGATACAGCTGTAAAAGCTGTGAATAAGGTAAATCCAAAGGTGAGTAAAAACCATTGGATTTCGACTGCCTCATCCGAACTGATAGGTGCTAGAAGACTTATTCCGGCGAGCTCCGAATTCAATGAGGAGCGAAAGCTGCACAAAAGGAAACTTACGAAAAGTCTCCGCAAGGACCGTGAACAGTGGTGGTTGACAAAGGCGAAAGAGATGGAAAAAGCATCGGCGATAGGCAACACTAGGCAACTCTTTACACTCATCAGGGAAACAGATGGGAGAAGGCAAATCATAAGTGAGACTATTTCTGAGAAAAATGGATCCTTAATTAGCTCTCAGGATAGACGCCTCGAACGCTGGAAAGAACACTTCGAGGAACAGTTTAACTTGCCTACAGCCACATTGAGCCTCCCCGCCATCCAGCACACACCCGAATGGGACATAGACACTGACCCGCCATCTGTAAGTGAGGTCACCAAAGCTATCTGTAATTTGAAACGAGGCAAAGCGGCAGGAGCCGACGGAATTATTCCGGAGGTGTTTAAATATGGGGGTGACATACTAGTATACAGTTTAACTAAGGTACTAGGTAACGTCTGGGAACCGGAGACGGTTCCATCAGACTGGGGTAAGTCACTTATTATACCAGTATTCAAGAAGGGAGACAAGTCCTCATGTGATAATCATAGAGGAATCAGCTTAACGAACATAGTCTCTAAAATCCTAGGCTCAGTAATCATGCACAGACTAAGCCAAACTCGGGAGGAACAAACGAGGGAAAACCAAGCGGGCTTTAGGCCAGGTAGAGGGTGCATAGATCATATCTTCACTCTCCGACAGATCCTAGAACATAGACACACTTTTAGGCGTCCAACAATTGCCATATTTCTTGACTTGAAGGCGGCCTTCGACTCCGTGGATAGAACGGTACTATGGCAATGTTTGACTATGAAGGGAGTGCCAAGAAAGTACATTGCACTAATCAAGGCACTCTACTCAAACTCACGTAGCCATGTAAGGGCTTGTGGGGAATTGTCATCTGAATTGATAACAACCAGTGGTGTCCGTCAAGGATGTCCACTTTCCCCTTTTCTGTTTTACTTCATCATAGATATGCTAATGGAAGTATCCTTAACTGAACTTAACGACTTAGGAATCGACTTGTTACCAGGGAATAGTCTTATGGACTTAGAATATGCAGATGATATAGTCCTGTTAGGGGAGGATGCTGACAAAATGCAGAGTCTTCTGAACACCTTGAGCAGCAATCTTCGTATGTTTGGCATGCGATTCGCCCATGTACAATGTAAGATGCTGCTACAGGACTGGACTACGTCAACTCCTAGCCTAATGATAGTGATAGGGAGTGAAGTGATAGAACATGTCGACCAACGGACTGATTAGTGACGAAATCACAGCACGGATTCAAAACGCTCGACCTGCTTTCGCTAACTTATGCCATCTCTAGCGTAGGCGTGACATCCGGCTGTCAACCAAGGGACATGTGTACTGCTCAGCAGTTCGCTCCGTCCTTGTCTATGGCGGTGATACGTGGCCACTGAGAGCAGAAGACATGGAAAGATTGTCTGTTTTTGACCACAGATGTTTACGATCTCTTTCTCGCATGAGGTGGCATAATAAGGTAAGTAATGTTGACGTTAGGCGTAGAGTGTTGGGCAAAGAGGGAAAATCAATCGACGAGGCTATAAAGTTACATAGATTGAGATGGCTGGGTCACGTGCTGCACATGCTTAACCCTCGCCTCCCCCACCCTGACGGGGATTACACTAGCTGATATAGGTGCAGGTTGGAAAAGAGTAAGTGGTGGCCAAACAAAAACATGGCCTCATCAATCCATGAAATCCTTGACAGTTAAACTGAGTCAGGTAGGGAGATGCAGACTTCCGAGTTGGGGCCCGCCCTCGGGACTCTAAGAATCAATGGCTGGAGACAATAGGTGACATGGCTCAAAATCGTTGTCAATGGCTTACGCAGATGTATTCAGTCTCTGTAATCTTTCATATTCCTTTCTACCATTACTCATTCTGTTTCACTCTTATACTTGTCAAAGTTCTATTGATTCTCTTCACTCATTTTCTAGTCTACCTTTGTGTGCTATTTGGAAGGTGGCAACTCGAACTGCTGCACTTCGGTGCCAAGTTCTATGTTGAATCCAACCAGCCAGCCACACCATGTTGCGTAACATTTTATATTCGCCGACTAATCCTATAATTATGCATCCCTTTCCAACATCTATACATCCATCCATCTTATGTATTATTCTATATATGACATTTAACTGTGATTACATAATCACAAATATTTTAATTGCATTTCATACTACTACCACTATTATTATTGTTTCATGTATTCACACCTTTGATGTGATTCCCTCACCGGCTGTAATTTCTTAAAAGCCATATATATATATAATTGTACAGCTTGATAATAAATTCGTTGAAAAGAGTCTCTTCGCTGAATATTGTGTTCTTGGCCCTTACTGTATTCAATATAAGTATATTCGAGAAACGGTGTGTTGCAAAATTCATCGCATATATAATGTGAGTGGAAACATAACACTACAACCAATCACATTCAAGGTCACCAGGAGAGATGACAAATAAACTCGTGGAGAAATCTAAAAGCTTTTTATTAACAAATTGAAGTGTATCCGCTGAAGATGTTGCCTAGTATGTCAATGAAAGCTTCTCAAATTAACCGTCCATCTCAGAGAACACAACCACATCAAAGTCAAGAGTTAGATGAAAGTGGTGAAGTAGTGAGTTACACTATACTGAAGGGGAGGAAGTTAAATCCAAAGATTACGTAATCAAATAAAAGAGACACAGAGTGCAAAGACATCCAGTTACCAGGATGTCAAGGAAAGACTGCTAACTGCATCTTTCTGAGCACACTAACGTGGTTTCAAGCGTTTGATACATCACCGTAGATAATCGCAAACACAAATAAATTAGAGCTTTTTAGCTGTTTTAGTCGCTTTTTCTAGGCTCTAAACTTATCAAGAAAATTTTCAAGCATTGGTTTTTTAGGGATTTTGTTTGATTGGTTGGGGGATTTCATCATGAGCTGAATATTAGTTAGAGAACCGTTGGAAAGCCAGCCACAGGGAGTACTGGACAGCTGTTTCGTCCTAGTTTGGGACTCTTCGTCATTAGGCACCCACCACAGGGGTTCGCACTCAGGACCTTCTGGTTACAAGGCGAGTGAGCTCGTATACCATTAAGCCACTGGGACCTGATCAAATGGCCGGCCCATGAATTCTAACTTCTGCCAATTCACTATATAGTTACCTAGAGTTCTAGTGGGTATTCGTGACCAGTAGGGTACCGCAGGTTGGGCGTGAGGACAAGTCGCTCCGCGTCGTGAATTGGCAGAAGTTGGAATTCATGGGCCGATCATTGGATTGGGTCCCAATGGATTAATGGTCTACGAGCAAGCTCGCCTTATAACCAGAAGGTCCTTGGCTCGAACCGTGGCGGCGGGTGCGTACTGCTGAGGAGTTCCGAACTAGGCTGACGAAACAGATGTCTCTCCAATACTTTCAGTACTCCAATGGTTCTCCAACTGATGTCAGCTCATGATGAAATCCTTCAACTTATCAAGAAAACTTATCAATTAAAGTGCAACTGTAATGTGACCTCACATTAGCGCAATCGCTGAAGATGCTGTCCAGAGAGACAATTATAGGTTCTCATTTAAACCATCCAGCTCAGAGAACACACAACCACATCACCTGTATTAGTCTTGTGGTTAATCTTTTGGCTTAATTTTAACTCAATAAAGAATATTCATAATTTTCTTTCCTTTTTCTATCCTTCTTTATTCTCTAGTCTGCCAAAATGTATCATCTTAGCAGAAGATCCAGTACTAGCCAGATGGGATCCAGAGAAATCTCAATGGCGTACAAGCGGTATAGAATTGATTCGATTTAAAGAAGACGATAATACAATATTATTTCGTACAAGTGTATTCGGTACAATGGCAATATTTCAAGATTATCATATCAATATGCCATTCCAGGTGAGTTAGTTGACACAGATTTACATAAACATCAGTTAGAGAGGACCATTGGAAAACCAGCCACAGGGAGTACTGTACAGTCAGCTGTTTCGTCCTAGTTTAGGGCTCTTCATCATTAGGGACCCACTTCCCAGGACCTTCTGGTTACAAGGCCAGCGCGCTCGTAGAGCATTACGCCACTAAGACCCGATCCAATGGCCAGTGCATGGATTCTAACTTCCGCCAATTCACGCACGACATAGCGTGACCATTTCGCAATGTGTTCTTCGGTGAGCTACTGCCAATTAAACAAAATCCCTCCAAAAAACTAATACTTGAAAATCCATATGATGCTAGCTGGCGACTGGCCTTATTCAGGCATTGAGCTGGAGTTCTAGTGGGAAACCGTGACCAGTAGGTACACCTGGTTGAAGATGAGGTTAGCGAAGTGATTTTGCTATGACAGGAATTGTCAGAAGTTAGAATTCATGGGTCGGTCATTGGATCGGATCCCAGTGGCTTAATGATCTACGAGCTAGGTCGTCTATTAACCAGAAAGTCCTGGGTTTAAACACTGGAGGTTGGTGCGTAATGATGAAGAGTTCCAAGCACTAGGATGAAACAGCTGGCTGTCTAGTACTCCCTGACTGGTTTTCCAATGGTTTTCTAACTGATGTCAGCTAATGATGAAATCCTCCAACCAATCAAAAAAAATCCTTACAAAACCAATAAATGAAGATTTATAAACGGTTTATTAGAATAATTCTACTTGATTTCCTATACAGAAATATAGTCAGCTAAGCACTGAGCTAGTCATTTGTCTTTCTGACTGACTGACTACTTTCAACATAAAAATTTGAATAGATGTACAGCATTTCCAGTCGCCACTCTCTGTATAGCACACAAAGCAAGAGAAGAGAGTAAACTGAGACGGATAATAAACAGAAGTGTGAGTGAGGGAAAAAGAATAGTAATATGAAAGAACAATAGAGTTTTATTGGATATGACAAATCACAAAGACTAAATGCATTCGAGCCAGACGTCATCGAGAATGATTTTCAGCAATACCACCAGTTGTCTACAGTCGTCATTGGTTCTTGCCATCCCAAGTACCCCAACCAGACAGTAGTCTACGCCTCCCTACGTGGCTAAAACTAACTTTTATGGATTTCATTGACTGATAGATAAAGCTATGTTTTCGTCTGACCACCACTGGCTAACTCTTTCCCAACCCGACCGATCCTTAATCAGCTAACAATGCCAGTCGAGAAGGGTGATCGATGGCTAGGTTTGCATGCGTAACACATATCCTTACCCTCTCAATCGTTGTAATTTCACAACCTCATCGATTGATTTCCCTTCTTTACCTAACACTCAACGCTTAACCTCAATATTGCTCACCTTATTATGTCAATTAACCAGGCAGATAGAACACAGACACCTATGATCAAAGACAGCCAGCCAGGCTTTTCATGTCTTCCACTTTCAACGGCCATGCCTCCCAACCAGGCATAAAACAGGATGGATTGAACTGCTTTGATCGATAGCCAGCCGGCCAGATATCACATCAGCTAAGCCACAGTTAGCATGAGTCAACTAATAAATGCCAAACGAGCCTTCTGTATCCTTGCAGAGATTTAGTCAACACGAGTCAACAATACCAAATGTTAATAGAGAGAGGACGAATAGTTCAGCGAAGAGTCTCTTTTCGGCGAATTCATTTTCATAGCTGTACAATAGCAAATATATATAATAATTTTAATAAGTGTAAATTAACGACAAAGTCAAGCGGAAATACAATTAGTAAGTTCAGATTAAATGGATGTTGATGTAAGAGGGTAGTAACAGAATTGATGAGTTGTCACAAACGATTGTTAAAGAAAAGTTACGTAATACCATGAATAGTTTGATGAAAGAGTTGTGCCCACGGTGTACACGGAAACAAAATAGCATACGGAATTACGTAAGATTTTTAAAGTAATACAAGAGTTTTATGTTGTTAGAAAAACAAGCGAACAAGTAAGAGTTAAGTCAGACCAACAGAGTTGTTGCCATGATAGTAGAATTGGTTTAATAATTTTCTTTTCTCTGCATAGTTCTGGTTCTTCTAAATGAATGGCTAGGGTTTCTGCAATGCAAAGAAGACAGAAACGTATTGTCTTTGGCAAGTTGTTCTTCACTTTGTTGATTACTCTGCCGTAGGAAGCGTTTGTTGAGATGGAATGACTATAGTGGTGACGAGATGTTCAATTATTCCACTGCTTATACGATCACTACTTCCTTTCTGCAGCCACGCTGGATAGTGTTCTTTGACCCTTTTTGACAGGATACGCATCGAACGATCGATGTACTTGGCTCCACAGCAACAGGTGAACTGATATATACACATAGAAGTGGTTAGATGCGAGATCTTGTCCTTTGGGCTTCTGTATGTATGGGCTTCAGTAAGAAACTAGGTGAATGTAAATCTCAAGTTTCATCACAAAAATGGGATGGAATTACGATGAATTAGTGTGAAGATATCCATGCTTGTCAAGGTAATAGTAATAAGTTAGCCACAGTCTGTTTCTGAACGCATAACCTGGGTTTTACTTTCCTGATCATAACTCGAATAGGCGTGAAGTGCTCTGTGTGTTCATACACCCACCCCACCCCCCTAAAATACTCTGACTGACATGTTAATCTAATGTAACCTTAGGGAATACAATATTCAATGAAGAGACTCTCTTCAAAGAATTTATCTATCAAAGTGTACAGTTGAATGTAGTAATATTAATAATTTGCTTTGTTCCCAGACAGGAGTAATGTTACAGTGTGTAATTTTCAGCATTTGGCACAATATTATTGCATCTTATTATTATTACTATTATTATTCCATTGCGCTCCGAGTGAATCATAGGGATTCAGCAACACATCTACACTTTCTTCTGTTTTCTGCCGTCCTCTTCAGTTGGGTCCATGACTGTCTAAACTCTCTCATCTCCTCCTCACACGACCTTCTCCATGTCACCCTCGCACTGACGACCCACTAGTAGCTCCCCATTGGGATTCCACTCGAGCAATGAACCAGAAATAATTCTGCAACTTTCCTTCCCATCTATTACAAATACACGAATGTACAGCTGTCTAGTTGATAACTTCGTCGAAAAGAAAATTTCCTTTCGCTGCAACTTTCTATTTATTCACTCTCAATATATTGCTCTCAGCGTTTTTCTTATTCTTTCTTTTTATCGATCCTTCCATAGTGTTGGGAATTACGTCCATTGCCTATGCGAATTGGTAAACCGACTGATGCACAGAATTCCATCACACCAGTTTCAAATGATTTGCCTACAAATAATTTAGATGGTACATTCGCTGCTGTCCCGTTGGCTACAGCAATCGGTCAACAGCAACAACAACAACAACCATCTTCAATGTATAAATCGAATTTACCAACATTGAAAACTACTAATACTGCTGAAAATATTAAAGATAAAGACGTCTCTGTAAGTGGAATAATATTTAAATATTTCTAATGAAATTTTTGCGAGTGTGACCACTCACGGATTGATATCTGTTAGAGAACAAGTGGATAGTATACGAGCCAGCTAGCTGGCCTTGTAACTAAAATGCCCTGGGTTCGAACCCCATTGAGGTGGTTACTGCGTACTGCCGATGATTCCCAAACTAAGCTGATGAAACAGCTGGCTGTCCAGAACCCCCCCCCACCCCCAGCTGGTTTTCAGTGGTTCTCTAACTGATTGATATCAATCCGTGCGTGGTTAAACTCGTGAAAAGAAAATTGATCTTTACAAACCAACTATAGAAAATTTTTATGAGTCTTTACACAATCGCTTAGATATTTATTTAAAGGAAGAGACGTTCAGAGAAGACCGTTACTCTTTTCAGTGATATCATTCTCAGGTTGTACCTTTGTTACAGCAGGAGGCAACACACCGCTGTTTATATCTAGACAGTTTATATTCGTTAACTAATCACTGAGCCCGTGATTTTGGTTTGCATTAAACGATGTGAAATAGAATGCTCAAATGCCTATATAGATAGTATTCTGCTGCTAACACAGTATTGAACTGTGGGAATATGTGAGAATAATATTCCGTTGTAACCTATTGTCTGTATCACACTACCACACTCGTCCGATCCCCGTCAAAAACTTTCGACTGAAGTTGGTTCTATCTTCTTGGTGATGGTGGCTTAAAGAAGTTGAGGCACTCAGGTATAACCCAATCTCTTCTCATACAATTTATTAATTCATGTGTTTTGCCCATTATTCTTTATTGTTCCCCATTATTCTTCCCTGGGCTACTCAAAAAAGACCATATAATACTACGAAGAACATTGAGGGCTGTAAGTGGGGTCAGTGCTATCCCTTTGACTCAACTAACGGACACTGTTGTCAATAGGCATATGAATTCTTGTAAACACTTAGCTAAAGTTATTTTGTCTGATAGTGAACATCCTCTTTGTTCACATTTGTTTCCTTGTATATCTTCGGGTAAGACCAGAAGAAATTTCATAAACATTTATGCTCGTACTACAAAATATAAAAATTCGACCGTACCATATTTGGCACGAGTATTGTGTGAAGAGACGAATATCAGAAAAGAACTTTTACAACTTCTAAATCATTAACTAAACTATAAAATGTAATGATGCATATTATTGCATGTGTGATTTGTTATATTATTTATTTATTATTCACTATGACCTAGAAATGGTGTATTTTGTTGGGGTTTTTATTTTTCCTATTAACTATTAATATTTTTAAAATTTTATACATTTATATAATTATAAAAAGAGCTAAACCAATGCAATATGTAAAATGAAACGCTGAAAATTCCATGCTGTAAATTGTTATTGTTGTGGAATAAAGTGATTATTATTATTATTTGTTAGTTTGTCTTGCTGTATCGAGTTTCGGAGGTCTCTCACGTTCCTCAGCTTCTCCCTGATTGCATATACGCGACCCCGTCTCACGGTGACCATGTATGGTCCTTCCCACTTCGGAAGCAGTTCGCTTAACCCTAGAGCATACTCACCAGTGTTTCGCCTCAAATGCTGCCTTCGCCCGACCACCCAACAGCCTTCCAAGTAACAGCCTCATCGCTGACAGATGTCGAACGCCACTCAACTGCTGGAAGGCCTCGAAGTCCTGCCTGAAAATCTATACGTCTCCTTCAAAATCTGCAGGACATAGGCTTTCCATTTGTCGGCAGGCAGTGACATCAAATGTAACAGCAGAAGGCAAGACACAGAAGCCAAGGTATATTTTCAAATGATCAAACCGCTGTATATATATATATATATATAGATACAATTTATATTTGTTAACTAATCACTGAGCGTGTGGCTTTGGTTTACATTAAAAGATATGAAATAGAATGTTCAAATGCATATATACATAGTATAATGATGCCAAAGCAGTGTTTAACTATGGGAATATTTGAGAATCATATTCCATTCGAAAACATTGTCTGTATCACTTCGCCACACTTTGCCTTTGTCTAATGTTACACAAATTCGGAGATTCACAGGGGAACACTAACAAGCCAGCAGAAGAGTCAGTGAAGAAACGACCTCAGGTGATGAACATAGAGAAAAAAGAGGTGATGAAGATACGCAGCAACCAACCAACAACAGCAACAACAACAATCTCACCAATCACTATCAAAGGAAGAGATTTGAAAGAGGTAACTTAATTCCTTCACTTATCTAGGAAGTATCGTTTCATCTACGAGCGACAGCACGGATGAAGATGTCAAAGTCTTTCAGAATAGAGAAGGCAAGATACACCATCATTCTGAAGTCAGTTTGGAAATCTTCCACACTCAGCATCATGAAGAATGAAGTTAGGATTCTCAACATAAATGTGAAGTCAGTCAGTCATTTCTTCTGTGGACATCAGAATCATGGCTAGCGCGTCGCAAAAGGCATTTCCAACAGCCAGCTGAAGAATTTTCTGTCATTATCTGATGTAATGTTCTGAGGTCTCTTTCACCAGAGGCCTGCGTGTTCTGTAACACTGTCATTGAGACTGAGATGAAGTCTATTTGGTTTGTGCTGTGTCCATCTGGCGAAATCCATTTTGCTTCGTATATATCTATGTGCTTGTATACACTGCCTCCGATAACTAAATCATTGAAAGCGCGGAAGTCTGCGAATAATTCTCCGTCCTCATTCATTTCGCCAAGACACAGCATATTGACCTATCATCAGTTCTCTTCTTGTATTGTCTGCTCCCAGTTTAGCAGGCACTCATATCACCCATAAGGATTTGCTGTCTTCATCTGGGATATCGTCCACTACTGTTTGCTGTCGTCTTCCTTCTTCTCTTGTTCCGCGTTGTATATAGCATTGGTTAATTGTAACCTTCCTTCCTCTTGAGTTGAATCTTCTATCATAAACCTGGATGAAAGTGGTTCCCACTACATTATGGCTCTGACTGCCAATGGTGACATCATTATAGCCACTCCCTCACCGTGCTCGTGGTTTTCAACTGAGTGACCGGAGTAGATTACTGACTCTCCAGTTGACAATTTAGATAGTCCACATCCATTCCACTTTCTTTCTCAGATTTCCAGTACTTCCATACCACATATTCCCTTTTTGAGCTGCCTGGATAGCCTTCCCAGCCTCGTACATTGTACGTACACTTCACGTCTCTTTTCTTATTCTTGCTTTCATCGAGAGAAGACCGGTAAAGAGAGAAGGTTGGGCATGAGACTTAATAATATTAAACCGTTGCCAAGTGAAAATGGTTATCCAGAAACGTTTATTGATAAGAATATGAATCTAAAATCAAAGCAGCCCAAGGTATCAACAGTTCCAAAAAAGGCCTTATTCCTACAAATGCAGTATCTAAAGGAATATCTCGATAAAGAAAGGAAGACGAAATTTGTAGTATTAAATGATATCATCGCCATTCTATTTCACAGGTTCTCATCAGCTGCAGACTACGTGAAGTTACAATGGTTATATAAATGATAATAGCATACTTTAATGTTTGAGTAGTATTTATTTTATTTTTTTTTAGTAGAGAAGAGATAAAATTGACGCATCTAAAAAAGAATGAAAGCATTACAATTTTTAGTTTAAGTTTTCATCATCAATTTATACACTTTTAAAGTTGAAAAAAGGGGGAAGGGGTAAGACAGAAAACAGAAAAAATTGATTAACAGAAACAGTATTAGCTTGTAGATTCACATAGCAACTCCAAAAAACAGAGGCGATTACAGTTTATGGGATTAAGATTTGTTCAGTGAGTTGAGATCACTGAATTATATGACTAATTAATGTAATCGAAATGAAAATTCAGTTACCAAGGGAGGGAGAGGTTAATCATACTCTCTTTCTGTATGCATAAGTTTGGTTGGTTTGAATGGTTTGATTGCGATCGCTTCGGCAAATCGTAGTAAATTCGCTGTCCTTTGTCTATTTAATATTTTGAAGGACTTAGAAATCTCTACGAGATGTCCGGTATCAACAATATGTCTGGTAATTGCAATCTGAGAATATTTGCTTCCTTTCAGGCATAGGTTTCTTGGAATATGTTCAGAAAACCGGATAGAAGCCCTTCTTTCTGTCCTTCCGATGTACTTGTGGGAGCACTTGCGTGCAAATTGTAGAGCCAGAAGAGGAGGAATTTATCGAAAAGGATATTCTTTGCTCAATTATTTTGTGTTTTTGATTGGACACTAGTCAGTAGTAACTAGTGTCTCAATTGATTTGATTTCATTGTAGTTTGTTTTTTCTGCAATTGATGCTTTCCACATTACGTATTCTAAGATCTAAAATGTTCTAGAACTTTGCAAATTTCTTCGTTGCATCCTTCTTTGTTAGATTGGCAGTATGCCTGAAGTATTAGCAACAGACCACATAAAGGATGGGCAAACGGATAGCACCAAAGAACACATGATTCTTGGTCCAGTAACAACAATTGGCTTGTCGAATGAAGCTTACCTCTCTGAATTATCCAATACAAATCAATGCCTACTGACAATCACTGGTGGTGTCATTGAAATACGCCTACATATTCTTGGGGATAGAATAGCTATACTTCCGAGTATTCCAGAAGTGATGACACGTACAGACGTTGATTCACCGTTAACTGGTGCAGCAACATCAGCAGCAGCAGCAACAACAGCGGCAGCAGCAGCAACAGCATCATCAGCTACAAGTGTAGTCGGTGGCGTCGGAGGTGGAGGCGGTGGAAGTAGTAGTGTTGGTGGTGGTGTTACAGGAGCTTCTGTTGGTACAGGATCAGGTAGTGTAAGTGGAGCTGGTGGTGGGAGTGAAACAGAACAGAATGGGGCAGATTTATTAAATCATACAAAACGTGAATTGAATCATTTATGGGGTAAATGGTATACAGTAGATGAATTGATTACGGTGCTTCAGCTATCTGGTGTCAATTTGTTTCCTAGAGAAGATTCAGTTAGCCGGATTGAATGTCTTAAAAAGGTGGGCAGTTTCTTTTCATTGTCGTTAATTTATTCACAATTGTGATAGGCTAAAAGAAATTGGTGATTCCTCCACACGATTATGTCAAACAAACATTCCCCTGTAATTGATTTTTACAACATTGGACTGAAATGCCACATCTGCGTTGATATGTTGGCTCCTCAAATGGTTACCTTGACGATATTTGAGGATAAATGTGACATTACAGGATTTAATCACAAGCTGGGAGTACTGGACAGACATCTGATTCGTCCTAGTGCTTGGGACTCTTCATCAGTACGCACCCACCGCCACGGTTCGAGTCCAGGACCTGCTAGCTCGTAGACCATTAATCCACTGAGACCCGATCCAATAGCCAGTTCATGAATTCTAACTTCTGCCAATTGACGAACCCCAACGGGTACGTACTGTGAAGAGTCCCAAACTAGGACGAAACAGCTGTCCAGTACTCCAAGGTTTTCCAATGTTTCTTCAACCGATTTCACATCATGATGAAATCCTGTAATCAATCAATCAAATCGCTACAAAAACCAATACTTAAATATGACGTTATTTCGGTCGGTGTCCCACATGCGCGTAATTGATTCTACTGCGTATCGTACTGAAATAAATGAAGTTAAACGCAAATCCTCAGAGGTGATATCTCTATCCGTAAGTACTGAGTGATGCACGTTCCAATCATCAAGGAAACAGCAGTTTCCTCTAGGCTGCAAATACGCCAATATATAGGAATAGAAATTAGGCACTGTGGTAGGCCATGATTCCAAAACAGGCTAAAATTTATTTCCCAATTGGTAGTAATATTTTTCATTTCTGTGGTATGAGTAATGAGTCATTCCTACTGCAAATGTTGGGTGTAGATTTGATGAACAAGGATTCAGTAATCAACCTCTCTCTCGATCTTTCTCTCCACCTACATACCTACCTGTAATGCTTACTTCTTAGAATTTTAACCCTCTTCTTCCTACCCTATTGTGTGTGATTATGCCTTGTTAATACATGCAGTGCAATGTAGCGCTGAGCTTTTATTTCTAAATTACTAATCTTCTCTCGAGTGGGATCAACCATTCTAACCTTAGCCACTAAATTCTTATCTTCTCACAGGCAATCTGACTACCCCACCAAATCTACTATGTAGATTGACCTACGTAGTTAGTTCACCGAATTCACTACAGTGATTGCAAGGTATTTTGTAAATTATATTATTCTGTCTTATTGGGTCAACTGACAGGGTCGTTTAACCTACAGAGGTGAGTTTGTCCTATCTGAGTGAGTTTGTAGGTATTTGCATGCCACCAGCCTAATTCCTGCTTTATTAAGAATCCTACATGTGGAGGGTTTTAGATTTCCCCTCCTTCCTTATATGCTAGAACCACTGTAGATGCCTTATATTCTCTCTTATTTATATTTATATTATTAGTTTCCCCATTATTTTTATTTTGCTTTTGACCATTTCTGATCTTCCTAATGAATTTTATTGCATAGTTGAGTTATTTGACACCGACCAGCTCTTCTTCTTCTGTCTGTTTTATTTCATCATTTAGGTCTTTTGTTGTACTACTTAGAGCTACTGCTCGGTTACACACTGTTAGATACACTTAACTACTAGGCATGCCTTTACAGATAGATAACGACGGATGACATGAATTAAGGTCTAAGTACCTATTAGCAGAATGCGTTTATTTTTTATGAACACTAGTGTATAGTTTACCTTAATCTATTCGTTTTATTTTACAATCTAACATAGCTAATTCTCCTTCTTCATTTTCTGATTCAAATGTGAATTTTATTCCCTCTACTAGTGAGTTTATACGTATCAAGAAGTTAGAGATATGTTCTGCTTTTAACACTGTAAAAGTGTCAGTCAGCCCATATCTCCAGCATATTTTTCGAGTGTGATTAAATGTTGCATTGAGAGCAATATTTTCCCAGCTGTCCATAAATATATCTGCTATGATAGGGGATATTGGTGATCCATCACATTGCTACACCTGTTCGTCTATATATTTTTCCTTGGAATTTAAAGATAGTAGATGTGAGACAGCATAACTAAATTCCTAAAATAATTTCCTCAATGGGCAGCTTCGTCTTATGAGTAAGTTCAGAATCTGCAGTTAGTTCTTTTTTAACTGCTTCTAAGGATGCCATATTGATTGGTATATTAGTAGAAGGACTAGTTATATCAAAACTAACCATTGTTTCATTATTCTCTAGTTGAATGTCATTTAGTTTATTTTTCATCTCATATGAATTAGTTAGTCCAGAGTTTGAGCGATTTCTAATAGGGCATAATATTAAAGCTAAGTGTTTTGATAATTCATAAGTGGGGGTATTCGCGAAATCTACTAACTTACACTGTGTGATGATAATACCAAATGTAAAAACATCGATAATACTAGTGTTATCCCTATTCCCCAGAGGCATATGCTTTCAGCCGTACATTGTCATTTCATCCTGTCATCTGCAGCCCTAATCAACAGGCTTCATCATCATCCACCTGCTTTCATTCCCTACCGGCATACACACACACGATCTCCTTAATGTCACATTTGACACACCACGCCCTACTCATCGATTTTTTTATTTGCCTTTTAAAATCTCTCTACTGTTTCTTTATTTAGAATCCTTTAATTGAAGAATCTCTGTATGAGAATATGGCACTGTTAAGTCCATCAGTAGCATTTGGTTGGTCCAGATGGAATTCAGAATGTCGTGATCATAGTACAATTGTTTTAACAGCTGTTGAACATGTGGACAGTGAAGAATCAGTTGATGAGGTAAAGGTGTTTTTATTTTATATCGAAATTCATCGAAAACTATTTATTATATTATTATTAGTGTTCTTTTGGGTTTCCAGTGGAAAATAGGGCTTCCATAGCACATCTCCACTTTGTGTTCTATTTTCTGCTGTCCTCTTTAGCTGGGCTGACGATTGCCCATAATCTCTCATCTCCTCCGCTTCACACGATCTCCTCCATGTCATCCTTGGACACACACCCAACTTCTCGTTTAATATTCATCTTTCAATCGAGCGATGACCTAGCTGGTGTGCAGTGTCATTCGACAATCTATTCAGTATGCGCCCAATCCATCTCCATTCTCTTCGCCATATTGGTTGAGCAATAGGTTATTGATTGGTCCGTTCCCAGAGTTTCTTGTTGATAATTCCTTCCACCAGCCACTCGATCTTCAATATGGACTCAATGAGGGCAGCTGTGGACAAAAGTCTTCAGCCAGTTGTCAGAAGTGGCTTTCGTGACGCGCCAGCCAAGTTTCTGACCAAGAGAGAATAACTGACTGACTGACTTCACATTTTTGTTGAAAATCCCAGTTTTATTCTTTATGCTGCTGAGTGTGGAAGATTTTCAAACTGGTTTCAGGGTGATAAAGGTGTATCTTGCCTTTCCGAATCTGGTTGGTTTTAACATCTTCATCCATTCCGACTACCTTCGGTTGAAACCGTGCTTCCTGGCCAGATAAGTGGAGTGAGTAACTTGTGTCAAACCTCTCCCGTTGATGCTGATTGGTGCTGGTTGTTGTTGTTTTTGCGGTTCGTTGGCCATATTCATCACTCCTGTCTTCTGTATGTCCACCTACAGTCCTGTCTTCGCTGCCTGACTCTTCAGCCAGTTTGTTGGTTTTCTCTTGCAAGTATTTGAGTTTGTGTGACATTACACATTTATCATCCACGGGCAAAATCCAGATCTTCTACAGTCTTCTTATCGGTCGTCCAGCGTATTCCTGTCTTTTCACTCCTATGCACAGTCTGACGTATGATCCAGTCCACCACAAATAGAAATATCATCGGTGATAGTGGGTAGCCTTGTCTTACTCCCGTATCCACTTGAAAAGCTTCTCTGAGTATTCGGTTGTGGGTCACCTGATGCTTGGTATTGTTACGTAACTGTTGAATGAGGTTGATAAATATTTGGGACACTGCACTCCATAGTGTTGAAGTACTTTCACGGTCTACACCGTAGTAGGCCTTTTTAAAAGTCGATGAAATTGAGGTTTCACTGCCATCCTATGCTTTTTTTCAATGACGATGCAGTAAAGCTGCAGTATGATCAGCGCATGATTTGCCTTTCCTGAATCCAGCTTGTCCCGGTGGGCGGACTTCCGCATCCAGTACACCTTTCATTCTCTCCAGGACGACGCGCCTCAGTATTTTACTCGACGTGGACAAAAGCATGATTCCACGCCAGTTCTTGCAGAGGTCTAATTCACTATTTTTTGACAGAGAACTGATTTCATTTAAAAAATCATTGAAAACCAAAGGGAATTACTGAACATCTATTTCGTTCTCCTTTAGGATTCCTCATCACTACTCACCCATATCCCCAATAGGGCTCGCTCCCAGAACCAATACTTGCTGATGACATTAGCTTCTGTTTGTTCCACGTACCGCGAATTATCACGAGTTAGTATTGATAGGCCACTGGATTCTGTCACACACACACACACTAGCTATATTGTCAGCCAACTCGTCTTGTAACCTGAAGGTTCTGAGTTCGATTCTTAGTAAGGTCATGAGTGGATGCTGCTGAAGAGATCAGAACTGTTTTGAAACATCCATCTGACACTCCTTATTTTCCAGTAATTCTCAAACTAAAATCAATTCGTGAACATTCTTTAAAGCAATCACATCCCTGCAAATCAACAATTGAGAATTACTAATGTTGACAAGTAGCAGAAAGTTGGTTACTGGTTTATCCACTTACCTCTTCTATCAAATAGGTTGGATTATTGTATAATATTTTGCTTACATTTTATCTCGTGAGCCCGCCAGTCTGATTAGTTGTTACACGTTAACTCAAGTGCACATATTAATATTATTATTACTCCCTTGGGTTCCGAGTGGAGCATACGGCTTCAACAACAAATCTCCACTTACTTCTATTTTCTGCTATCCTCTTCATCTGCGTCCACGACTGCCCATAATCTCTCATCTCCTCCTCGCCACACGATCTCCTCCATGTCACCCTCGCACCGACGACCCACTTGTCGCTTCCCATTGGGATTCCATTCGAGCGATGGCCTGCATTACGCGCAATGTCATTCGATGGCCTCCTCAACGCATGCTTAATCCATCTTCCCTTTCTCCTACATATTTGTTGTGCAATCGTCTCTTGGTTGGTTTGTTGCCAGAGTTTTTGTTGCTAATTCTTTCTGGCCAGCCATTTGATCTGCACTATGGAGCCAGCAAAAAGTCTGTAACTTTTTGGAAATCTTTTTCGTGACACGCAGTCCAAGTTTCTGACCTGTATAGAAGAACTGACAGTCTACATACATTCCATCTGCTCTCTCAGATTCCCAACGCTTCTGTGCCATATCTTCTTATTTCTTTAGCTACCTGGACAGCCTTCCATGTCTTGTACATTGTACGGATATTCCACGTCTCCATTCTTATTCTTGCCTTCATCGAAGGAAAACACATCAGCTAACTGACTGGCTCTCTGAAGGCTTTCACCAGCCCACATCATTTTGCTCCCCCTAACCAAGCGAGGAATAAGTCTGTTTCTCATACTTTTTCGAACTTTTAATAATTTCTTGTGCGTTAAAGTTTCTGTGGCAGTTTGATTGATTTCGTGGGGTAGGGTTGCTAGCCCCACGCTCAACTCTCCCTCTTCAGCCGGACTTGGGACCGGCTGGAAAACTGGCGAGCTAATAAACTAGGCGGGGTTCAGAAGCACATAGCACAGCGCAAAACATATTTTGCCTATTTATGAAGTTACATGGCATTATACAAAAGTAAAATGCAGACAGAAATTTAGTTGAATCCCGGGAAAATGAATCAAAAGTTTGACCGATCCATAACTTTTTCATGTCTTTCACTATCATTCCTTGTAGAATACATTATTTAGAAGAATAAATTGAGTTGTTCTGCACTACTGTCTTCTTTTGTATAGACGACAGAATATCACACTACAAGAGACCATGAGAAACATTTGAGAACTTTGTATCACAGGGAAACAAAAAGAAAGGTTGTGGAGAAAACAGGTACATTTACAATCTCGAAAAATTACATGTCCCTTCTGAGATTCCAGCCAGTGCTGCAGTCAGTGATGTTACCACTGTGAGTGACACCAATTCAAATCTCAAAAGGAGGGATATGAATTCCTCCAAGATTGTAGATACGCCTTGATTAATGGTGACTGTCAACTAACATGAAATCTAGGTCAGAAAAGGCCTTCTCATGGTGATTACCGCATCAAATACACAGTTGTATGACAGTGCTGCATTCCAAGTAATCCACAATGGGAAGCTCACGGAATCTTTCGAAGAAGTGAAGATGGGAGTAAGACAAGCTGGATGCCTACTTTCTCCAATGATTTTTCTCATTGCGGTAGACTGGACAATGCGACAGAGAGCGGGCAGCGCGTAAACAGGCATAAAATGGACTCACACAAAAAAACTTGGAGGATCTGGACTTCGCCGATGATATTTGTCTGACTTCCCACAAACTGGAATATATGCAAGTGAAAAGCGACAAGTTGGCAGGAGAAGCATCCAGAGAAGTTAGGATTCCAGGTGAACAAAGGGAAAATAGAGTTGATAAAGATTCCTGGCCAACAGCAACAGCCACAGTAACAACAACAGACAACAATCAACATAAATGGGAGAAATCTGAAATAAGCAACCTCCTTCACCTACTTATCCCTACCTACCTGAGAAGCATCGTTTCAAATACAGACGGACAGAACTGACGAGGATATTAAAGCGAGGATCCGGAAAGCAAGACAAGCTTTCATTTCTCTCAAGTTTGTGTGGAGGTCAACAGCACTCAGTATGAAAAGTAAGATCCGGATTTTCAACTCCAATGTGAACTCAGTGCTACTTACTATACGGGTCAGAGAATTGGCGCATCATAAAGGGCACTTCAAACAAACTACAGATCTTCATCAATAGCTGTCTTCGCTCAATACTCAGGATCAGATGGCCGGCCAGAGAAGATCAGCGACAGGGATCTTTGGGAGCGAACCAACTCATCAGTAACCCATTGTGTCACAAATATATAGGAAGAAGTGGGAGGAGATTGGCCATACTCTGAGAAAACCATCAAGTGACAGCACAAGACAGGCACTCGAGTAAAACCCGAACGGGAAGCCGCAAATTGGTTGTCACTGCGAGGATGACATGGAGGAGGAGGTCATGTGAAGAGGAGATGATGAAAGCATGTGGGCAGATGTGGAGCCAGGTGAAAACGTTGGCGGAGAACCGAACTCAATGGAGACGTGCGGCTGAAGCCCTATGTTCCTCTACGAACTAAAGGAAACAATAATAATAATGCTGATTGCCTCCAATCATCCAATAACAACCATTCTTAGTGCACCGTGATGGCGAGCCATCCAGTGGCATGTTGGCCACATTGCAAACTTGACTGCCAGAATTCACTCTGCACCAAACAAAGGACTAGACACACGACACTAGTCGCTGACCAGTGTCCGATCAAAGTATACATGACGTTGGTTTCAATTTTTGCTTTATTATCACTTTTTTTGAGAGGCTTGATCGAATCTTGTATAAGACTGAAGGTTTTCTCTAATGAAGTTGAAAATCTTGGGTTGGCAATGTGTTCTGTTATCTAACGAAAGACACACTTCTGGTCTTCTTTTGCTAGCAAAGGTGGATAGTACTCACATGCATATCTTACCAGTAGAAGCATGATACAGTCGATGTGCTCAGTTCTACAAGAGTAACTTCGTTAAACATCAACATTGTCGAAGAAAACATTTTAAGTTTCTCTAAGAAATGAGTCCAGTTGACCGTCGAAATATAGTATATATATATATATCCTTGAAAATTTATGATTGCACAACATCTTCATCGACTCTTTCACCGTCTAATCCTGCAAAATATAAACAACCTTCACTTCGATTTCATTTTAGAAATCATGCTTTCTCCATAATAAATATTACTTTTGACTAATGTTCACCTTTTTATAGGAATCATGGAAAGTTTACAGTGTAACAAGACACAAAGTTTTACAGCTGAAAATGAAAGAATACGATGAACAATACAATCCTATGCCGAATTCAAGTCAACAGGTAAGTGATACCACTACTAATAATAACTACTAATATTTATTGATTATTATCAATATTAGTATCATTGTCGTTAATAATACTAGTACTGAAAGTTACTATTGATTTCTCTCTGTTCCGAGTAGAATAATTATCTATTATTATTATTCCCTTGGGTTCCGAGTGGAACATTGGGCTTCAACAACACATCGTCACTTTGTTGTTTTAGGTGCTGTCCACTTCAGGCGTGTCCATGATTGCCCATAATCTCTCATCTCCTCTAACTCACATGCCCTCCTCCATACCACCCTCTGACCAACGCCCCACTCATCGCTTCGCACCCGGATTCCACCAGAGGGACTGGCGGGTGATGTCATTCGACGGTTTCCTCAATATATGCCCGGTCCATCTCCATTTTCTCTTACATATTTGTTGAGCGATCGGCTCTTGGTTGGTTTATTCCCAGACAGAGTTTCTTGTTACTAATTCTTTCTGACTATTTGAACTTCAGTATGGAGCGAAGGCAGCTGTTGATGAAAGTTTGCAACCTGTAGGAAATCCTTTACGTGACACGCAGTGCAAGTTTCTGACCCGTATCGAAGAACTGACTGATATAACACCGGTGTTGAAAATCCAAATATTGTTCTTTATGTTGTGTGCAGTGAAGAAGATATCCAAACTGGTTTCAGGTTGATGAAGGCGTATCTGGCCTTTGCGATTCTGACTTCGACATCTCCATCTGTTCCGCCCGGAGTTGAAACGATGTTTCCCGGATAAGTGAAAGAGGTTGTTGCTGTTGGTTGGTTATCTTCATCACATCCGTCTCCCCTACTTTCGCCTGCAGTACCGTATTCTCTGCCTGCTTCTTCAGCCAGTTTGTTGATTTTCGCCTGCAATTCTTCGAGACCGTGTGACACAGTCGGTGGCACAGTGGTTAGGACTCTCGCTGACCATGCACATGGTCCGGGGTTCGATCCCCTGCCGGCGCACACACGATATCTATGGTCGGCCTGAATTTGGGCTACCGGTATCGATGCTGAAAATTCCATACTTGTACTGAAAATACGATGTGGAATCAAGCTGTAAATCAAAATAAAATAAATAAAATTGAACACAAACAATCCGCCTTAAAATCCAGATCACCTAAAGTTTTCTTAACCGTGGTCTAGCGTACTCCTGTCTTCTCGCTCCCCACAGTCTGACGCATAATCCAGTCAACTGCAATTAAAAATATCGTTGATGGTAATAGGAAGCCTCTTCTTACTCTTGTATTTACTTCGAACGCCTTACTGAGTTTTCCGTTGTGGTTCACCTGACGCGTGGCACTAGCATATAGCTGTTGAATGAGGTTGATAGAGACTTCGGGTGCTACCCTGCACAGTGCTGAAGTAGTTTCCAAATTACTTCTCGGTCAACACCGTTGAGGGCCTTTTTAAAAGTCGATGAAGTTGAGGCAGAGGTTTCACTGTCAATCTATGATTTGTTCTACGGTGACGATTATGATGATGCGTAGAGTTGCAATTTGATAAGCACATGATTTGCCTTTCCTGAATCCAGCTTGTTCTGGTGCGAGTTGTCAGTCCAGTGCATTCTTTGTTTTTCCCTCCAGGATGATGTGACTTGGTATTTTACTTGATGTGCGTGGTCAAGAGCATTATTCCACGCCAGTTCTTGCACAGGCCTAAGTCGCCCTTCTTTGGCAGTTTGACGAGGTAGCCTTTCTTCCAATCGGTAGACACCTTTGCTTCTTTCCAAATCTTTTGCAATAATGGGGTGAGAACATCTGCCGCAGTAGCTAGGTTCGTTTCCAGTGCTTCTGGGGGAATTGTGTCCGACTCCGCTGCCTTCACGGGCTTCAGTAGCTTGATCGCATTCAGTAATTCTGCTTTCGTCGGAAAATCGGGGTTTGCTGAAAGACAGGTCTGTGAGTGCTGTTGGTGGTGGTATTTGTGGACGACTTACAGGTGATAATCGATTCAAGAGTCCTCTGAAATGGTCAGCCCATTATTTTATTTGTTTCTCCTCCTGCTTGGTAATTAGGTTCACTTGACCATCTTTTATAGGTTTCACCTGCGTTGAACTCTTCCCGGATAGGGACCTGGTTATTTGATATAATATTCTGAGGTCTGCTTCACCTGCAGCCTGCCTGCCTGTTCTGCTTCACTGTCATTGATAGTGTGTGGAAGAATTGTCTTTTGTCTTTCCTAGCACTCTTCTTCACCTCTGTCTTCATTCAGTGCAGCATACATTGAACTCAGCTTCTCCTTCTGTTGTCCATCTTTGCCTTGAGCCATCTTCTCTGTGCTCCTCTCCTCTTATTGATTAGCTTCCAGATAGGTGTCCGTTGAGAGCCATTCCTTGTCGTGTCTCTTCTTTCTTCCTAAAACAGTTGTACGCGTTTCCACGAACATCGCCTTCAGGGAGTGAATTCTAGGGTTCTTCCACGCAGGCTTCCTCTGTGATGACACGTAATGTCTCCAACTTCGTTATGATCTGATCTGTAATGAAGGCATCCTTGTCACTGTGTCCTTCAGTTTCTGAATGTTGAACTTGAATTACAGTGGCCTATTTCCAGTTGTTTTCAGGGATTTCAGCTTCACCTTGAAGGTTCCTTGCACTAAATGATGGTCTGAGCCCACATCTGCTCCCCTTCTCGAGTTTGTGTCCAGCAGACTAGCTGCGTCTCCACTTCCTTGAGCAGCACTGAGAGGAAGTCTATCTGGTTTGTGGTGTTAAGTGTCGGTCAGGCAAAATCCATGTGTCTGGCCTTGTGTATATCCTTGTGCTTGTACACTCTCCATCAAATCAGTGAATTATTGCAAGCGCAGTAGTCCGCGAATAATTCTCTATTTTCATTCATTTCGCCCATAAGGACGCATGTTACGCAAATATTTCCTAATCCGGGATATTTTGTTTCTAAGCCCCTTGTAATCCGCATTCATACACTCAGACTTTCATATCGAGTTGAAAATTACTACCTTTAATCTTCTTAGTCGTTATTATATGGAATTAAACAATAGTTGTATTTTTGTAAACTTATGTATTTAAACGTCACTGTACAGCTTTCGAGAATGAAATCGCAAAAAATATAGCTTCGCGTGTTCTTTTCGCTGTAAGCTAAAGACGATCAGACATCGACTATGAAGGCTAAACTTCAAAAGTAGAAACTGGCCAAAATGTGCTGGAAAATCATACATATAGGTGGAAAGATGTACAGAAAGGAGAATGGCGATATGAAGATCACAAATAACGAATACATCTGAACCAATGGAAACGATATTGAAAAACTCCACCAACAGTCTTGAACCGTTGATTCTTAACGCCACCAGGACCACACTAGCGAAGTCTACTACTCCCTAACATGGTTCAGACGAAAATTAAAAGACTATGAATTTATGCCACGTCTCGGTATGGCCATCCTTGACACTTGCCTATGTCTGCAACACAAAAGTCAGTTTTCACTCTTCTTAGTAATCATTGTATCACTTTAAATTTTGGCACCATAATTCTGTTTCTATAGGTAACATGCACTTTAATTCTTCTTTTTTTAAAATTTTTAGTTCCATGCTGATTTTTACCACATGTATTTTGATTTTGGATCTGAGGAAGGCAAACGAAGAGTTGAACAAATCGATTTAAAATACTTTAAAACTGTAAAGAAATTACTTCAAGCTACTCGACTACTAGTGTTCTCATGAATATACGTATAATATACAATGCTATCTCTTATTTTTCTTATATCAGTCTACCGCTTTTATCAAGTACATTTGCCGGCAGAGTTAATCCTTTTCGTAAGCCTTGTTTTTTACAAAACAGACGCCAAATCTCAACTTAACTATAAATGGACTAATATCATGATGGAATCTGAGAGTGCCTCTTGAAGAGAATGGATTTTGTTAGAAGGAGAGACTGACTTGTTTTTCAAGGCCATTTCGCAAGTCTAGTTTTTGCAGCTTGTGAATGCACAAATATTTATCTAAACAGTAATTATATGCGAAACATCATATAGCATCACTATCTGAAATAATTGATGTATTTGCAACCACATCACAGAGAAAGTGTAACCATTAACAGCATAATACTGTCTATAACATAAATGATGACAATGTGTAAAGTGGTAACTGCCTGTAAATCTGTATTTCTTAAGCCAAAATAATGTGTGAGCAGTAAATATAGTGTATTTATAAAAGTACTACACACTATATATATACTAGGGGATAACCGGTGATTTTTATATACTTCTGCAAATTGTTATTTCATCTGTGCAAAATACAACCCTCGCCGTTACACACTACCAGTCCCATGCCTTTTTACTTTGAGTTCGTTAAACTGTACGTGCACGCTAGCTAGAATACTGCTACTGGTATCAAGAGGAGAAGTTTTTGGTATATGCGGTTAGTTGAGGCTTATCTTGAGTGTAACCAGCAATTACAACTGCAATAATAGACTGAAAATAAGTACAACAGGCGCATATGCCTCTTAGACGTGAGTAAATGGTTTTCTACTTCGCGACATATCTCGCTGTTTGGAATTTATTTTCAGTTATTGATACGATAATATTTGCGTGCATTATATAGGGCTAATAATTAGATGTTTAGTGGATGGGATTTTGGATAATAGCTATTCGAATTTGTTTAAAAGAGGGCATCTTTAAATTCTACCCTAGGAGTCAGACAGCAGCTGATATGATACAACGTAAATTTTTCTACACTCAAAGAAGCGTACCCCAGCTCACAGGTCATTGTGGTCATTTCTACCTTTATTTTCTACAAACGCAGTTTATATGCCTACTTTAAATTCCAGTCGCCAATACTGTGTCAAGCAAGTCTTTTATATACGGTATTTCTTACCTCCTTGAAGACATATTTGAATGGTAGCCTCTTCTTATCTTCATTCGAAGTTAAAACACGACATGTATATGCTGTGATCACATCGTGAGTTGGACCAGCTTATAACTTCCCAGTCTTTTAGAAAGGAAGTTGGCCACTATCTATGGAACGGACTTGAATTGTGGTGTTTAGCATCCTTTCAATGGAGGTGTATGCTCTTCCTTTTCCAGTCACCGTCGACACTTTGTTCCATACCTCGGCATATCTGAACAAGCAAGAAGTTTGTCATTTGAATGTTTTACACTATTTATTAGCTCTTAGCGTGCCTCAGGTTATATCTAATGTTGTCTAAAAGTTAATTAGAATAATGTGAACTAAAAACAGATCCGTTTTAAAGCCCGGTGAAGAGCACCAGCTTCAGTCAGAGGTGTCTTAGTGGACTGTTCTTACTCTAAGTTTCAAATGAGGCTGTACCCTAAGTAAAAACTTAAAGTTTAATTCCTTTTCTTTGTTTCACAATCTCTCAGGGATATTGAGGACATTGGTGTGTTTTAACTAACCGTTTTTAGCAGACGGTCTTCATCCACATGGTGGATCATCTCCCTCCTTCTTGATGTCCTATTGCGAATCCTTCATAAATTCCAACTAACTTATTGATGTTGACATTATAAGCTACAGACGCGATAATCTATTGAAAAATTGTTTCTACCTGTCATAGTTACGTTAACCATATCAGTGTTGTGTACATTCTTCTCTGTGCCAAGGGGCCTTCTTCGTGTTCTTATCTTATCGCCTAATTTTCGTTTTATGGCGGGCGATTTAGACTTCAGCTGTCACTCACTGAAGTAAACCCGATAACTCCTTTAGTCTACCATTCAACGAACTTTGTTTCAATGGATGATTTGTTGTCAGATCGGTTCTGCCATCTTTCCTAGCAACACAATAATTAAAAAAGGAAAACTAAGCATCTCACAAAATCATCCTGTTAGCAGTGAAACAATGGTAAAACCGAGGGAACCTCAAGCATAAGTCTGTGGATTTAGATGCAAAAAGGCTAAGAGACAGTGTACTGACGTATCCCGGTTAAAAAGTATTTCGTTTTCTCAGGAGGGATGCTAACATCAAAATGATCTCCGAAATAAACATAAAAATATATATCATGAACTTATGTGCGAAAATAAGAAACATTACTTAAAGGTGTGTGGTATGGTGACATATGAGAAGTAGGTCGACAGAATGTAATTTACACGAATAAACTAAGAAAAACAAAAGCAAAAGGATTTAGCTCAGCCTTCCATCACAACAAGGATTCAGCCAAACTGTCCAAAACCTAAGTATACATACATTGGAATGAATTCAAACGTATATTTCTTAGGGTTTGTAGGTTACTGACAGAAGGCCACAGGTAACATATGCAAATAAAAATTTGGGGTGATTTCGGATCAGCTTGTTGTAGTGGGTACATTTTTGAGATACGAACTAAAATACTGTCCCTTTTTCTCAAACCATAAAGCATCTGCAGATGTTACGAAATGAACTTCAAAACACTCCCTCAGTATATCACAAATGATCCTAAAGTAGAAAATTTAGCTGTACAATTTAAAAATTCTATCCCAACTACACGAATATTCTATGAAAATCTGAAGTGACGGTTGAAGATAAAACAAATTCCAACTTTAAAACTTACGAAAATCTTTTATAATATGGTTAAGGCAAAAATGACATCCCATAGGTGAATACGGGAAAGCAGAATATATCTTAGTGATAAAGGCTTCAGTTCTTCTAACCTCTATCAATATATCTGAAATCTGTACCAGTACTACAAATATCTGCAAACATTATTGGTCCCATAACTTACAATTCCCTCGTGAATTGCGCATTGCCTTCACCAACGACGCAACCTGGATTACAGTTGTGAAATATATCTTTATACCAATAAAAAAGTATTGATTTATAATACTTCACGAATGTAACTTATAACATAACTGATCTTGTCTGCAAAATAGCTTGCATTTCTTGAAAACACCCGATTATAAGAAAATATAAACTACCATTATTATTAGTCGACCTTGAGTACTATTCACTTGTGATGTTACGAAGAAAATGCTGACAAAAGTATACAAGTGGATTACTTATTTTAAATTATTATCAAGAATAAGACTCGATGCCGTACACACCAAAGTTATATGGAGGAATTACTTCAAGCTTTATTTTTTTCCCAAGTATTTGTAATCCATCCAAAACATACTTGGGTTTTTTTTGTTAATGCGAAGACAATATTTCTATATTTCTTGATGTGTTCCATTGAATGGCTAGTTATCATATTGTTTCCATAGACAAAATGACTGCAACCTTATAATTTTACCATGAACCAAATTTATGTAATTTAAATAATACTTATCCATACCTGTACAATTGGTGTGTCCTACACAGGTAGGAAAAAATGTATTTTATTAAATTACTATTATTAAATATGTTTACTAATCGTATATGTAATTTATCATATTGATGATGCCTGTAAACTGGCGTCCCTCATGTACAAAATGAGAATATACTATTATTTATTTATTTATTTATTTATCTCTCTTCTACACACTTAAATACAGCGTAATGATTTTTATTGTGGAACCAGTTCCCACAACTATCGTACTATTCCCCACTTTTAGATCCGTTAAGTGTGCATACTCACTGCCTGTCTTTCTTGTAGTACAAAACTCCTCTCGCTCTATTTTCCATTTTTTGGTTTACACACTTTTCAGGTTCCCTCACAATTCACCCGCTACAACTTTTCCCACATTATTTGTTGACATCCTGGCTGTACGAAATCTGCAAGCCCTGGAAACGCTACTTCCCTGATGCAAATAATTCATTTATTTTCAATATAAATTAATGCAAATTTTCTATATCAATGAGTTGTCTCTGCCCCTATGGTACTATACGCAGATAACTTAAAAACCTGGAGAGAGCTGAAGGGCGACAGTGATACGCCCACGTTGCAAGAAGACCTCAACAAATTGTCAGAGTGGTCCAGAGAATGAATTTATTATTATTGTTTCCTTTAGTTCCTAGAGGAACATATGGCCTCAGCTACACGTTTCTAGTGCGTTTGGTTCTCTACCAACGTTTTCACCTGGCTCCACGTCTACTCACATGCTTTCATCTCTTCTTCAAATGACCTCCTCCAAAACACCCTTTGACGACCAACTAACTCTCCGCTTCGCATTCGGGTTCCATTTGACGGCCTGTCTAGAAATGTCACTTGACGGTTTTCTCAGGGTATGGCCGATCCACCTCCATTTCTTCCTGCATATTTGTCACACAATCGGTTCCTGGTTGGTTCGCTCCCAGAGAATGAATGCTGCCGACCAATATAGCGATATGCTCAATCATGCGCACTGGACACGCAAGCATCAGCCCCTACGTACTGGAGGGAATAAAACTTCCATCAGCTCAGGTTCGATTGGATTTAGGTGTCATAGTAAGTCATGGGCGCGTCGGTGGTACAGAGGGAGAATGATCGCCAGCCATGCAGGTGGTCCGGGGCTTGCCCCTCGGTCGACGCACTGGTTTACATCGCTAAACGAGTACTAAGAGTGGCAAAGAGGAAAGTGAGGGTACGAGGCTAGCAACCAAATCCCGTAAGAAAACAAAAAAACACGATTTCTACAGAAACTTCAAACCTGTAACTTGAAGCCCAGTGTTCAACTGTGAACTTAAAGGAATGAAAAAGAAGTAAGTCATGTCTTAAAAACTACAGCGCACTGTCGCGCCTTGGCTGCACGTAGTTTCAGATCCTTATAGGCGATTGGTAGAGCTTTTACTAGAATCACCAGAGATATGTTCAACTCATTATATACATCTCCCGTGAG